TAAATTGAAAATACGCTTTGTATCAACCAATAGAAAAAGACAGAACGATAAAATCCACGAATTACCACGCTTATGTACGCGCTGCTCAAAATTCTCATTAGAAACCCCGACTGTAGGTCGAAAAAAATTGTTTTCTCGGATAATTCCTGGCTACGTTATAGTTAAGAAAAATCGATAAAATTTTCTTTAAATTTATTAACATGTGTCATCATTTGTCATAGTAGCAGTAAAATAAAATTCGCTATTTAAACTATCGTACGCAATTGAATGAATTTGCCTAATGATCAATCATATCGGGTGTACGCAAATTAAATATGTATAATTGATCATCAAAATTAGAATAGACAATGACTTCCTCTTGTGACGATTTTTTTCTTATATAAATCGTTAAATTTGTTGTTGATATCATTTCAATTAAATCATTCGATATATTATTATAAATGAAATTATTTAGTCGATCTCCAAATCGTGTATAAAATTGTATTTGTCATTCTTTGACGTTTGTTACATGTAAAAACTCGTACCAATCAATAAGTAAGCGTTAAATTAAAAAATTAGTAATGATTCCTATTTTGTTTACAAATATAGATGAGATGTGAGTCGATTGATTGTCTGTCATATAATACATACCGAATATACAACGCCGATATACGGTATTTGACACTGACATTTAAATAATGTCGTATTATACAGTGTGCATGTTCACCATATGAAAATGTATTACAATCATCTAAATAATACGAATGTTTAATGTAGAAAAAGGTTTTTTTATGAAAGAAGATTTACGACAGAAGAGTAACTAGTTTGAGTTTCCTTTTAAATGATAATTCCTTTACAGCTATCATATCATTTAGTCGAAAGATAGAGGTTTGACCTTTTGTATCAGAATTTTTTCAAATAGAGAGTTACCATTTGTTAGAATTCTTAGTGATGGCAAGGTCTCAATGGCTTCATATGCTAAACCACCTTCAGCACTCGCTGGATTTAAGTAACCTGACGCATCCTGTAAATCTTCTTAAAAAAAAGAGATTATGTTTTGTAGATTTTGCATGTAAGAACACATTGTTATTTCAATATTTACTTAATAATTTTCCTGATCCTCTCTAATAAATAATACAGGCCAAAACACTAAGTAGCAGAAGGGCAAAAATTGTGAATAAAATGCTAAACCAACATTTTTTTCGTGGAGTCTCATGAATAAATTGAATAAAATAGAAACAATAATAAAGAGTTTTATTTTCTGTTTTACTCAGCCAGTGTTTCCACCGAATTGCTATTCCCAAAGTGACTAGAAAACTAATAGAAAGAAAAAAACGAGCCTTTTTGTTATAATGCTAAGTTTAATATGTACCTACCTTTGAACAATGTGTACAGCTTGCACAAGGTCAATTCTCTAAAATGGTTTTTGACAAGTATTATTGGTTTCTATTGATTAATGCTATGTTTATCCGTTTTATTTACCTTTTTATCTATTTCATTTTCTGCTTCCTCTAGAAGACCAACACACAGCAGAAACAAGAATGCAATTCCATAATTTTTCTTACCTGCAAACTCTTCGTCTTCTTCATATTCACTTTCTTCGAATCCCTTTTCTTCATATTCTTCTTGAGTGATTTTATCTTTTTTTTGTTTTCGTTTTGCTGCGTATTGTACCGATTGTTGTGTTTGGAACGATAATTGAAGAAGGCGGTTTTATTTTGTTGTCTATTGGTATTATTTGACTACTACGATTTCTTAGGACGAGAGAACTTTGTCTAGAAATGCGTGTGAAATACTTTTTACTGTTGAAAGCGGTCTTAGAGGTAATGTAGAAGCACGTTCTGGAAACTTTAAAATGGATCTCGTCGATGGTGTTGTTTGAGTATCGGATTCATTTTCTATTTTTATTGGTTGTAGTGTTGATCAGTCTTTTTACTGACATTTTGAGCATCACTACTGTTTAATACATGTTCATTGGGTGTTTGTGAATCATCTAGCACAAGAGGTGTTTCATGAGGCTACTTTAACGTAAGTTGCTTCCCTTTCTTAAGCTTTGTCAGTGTTTCATCATCAATCGAATATAACGCATATGTGTATAAATCACTTAGAGATATTTCCAAAATTACGGCAATATTTCGTAAACGTTGTCTTTCTGTTGTAACTCGGTGAGTGATATATATTGTTTTTGTTGTTCTACACTAAAAAGACTCTCCATAAGAACATGTAGTACACTGATTAATAATTCTAAGCATCTCTAACAGAAATCCAAAACCTTGGGGCCAGGTAGCTTTTAATCTATTTTTACGTATTCTCTGAGTTTTTGGTCATTGAGAAATACTAATTTCTACAGTAAACATTCAACCACTTTTGTTTGATATGTCAATGATGGGGAGCTTAATTTCATTATCACCAACAACAAGAGAGATATGTTTGAAAGCCAAAAGTAATGAATAATCTGATTGATTTAGTTGATTTTATAACAAGATTTTATGTTATTCATCTGTGAGTACTACTCAGATGCGTTTACAATCATTATGTATCAAAAAAGTGAGAAATTATCGATAGATTCTCCCCTACCTCTATACCTGATCACTCTTGTTTATAAGTGTTTATCAGCACTATACGCTGATAGTCCAAGTTTTCTGCTGGTAACAGGTAGGTATGTACCAGTTCTGTAACTGGTATCTGTTATAGCACAGTTTTAATCATCCATAGCATTTTGTAGAAAACGTTTATGTATTTGTTGAAACAAAGGTAATTGTGACAAAAGATGAGCATTATGGAATGTCATAGACCTACATGATAAATAGTCACCAGTTATATAACTATTCATGCATCTTCAATAATTCGCTTAAAAGTTTCATTCTTTAATTTGACGTTTCGTGCAAACATAGAGCAAGTCTTTCTCTACAAAATAAGATGTTCCACAAGTCTAGATGACCTAATAACTGCGTCGCAGAAATTTAGCTCGATGCCTCAAAAAAAGAGTCACTTTCCCTGCCTGTCTGTTCGCGTGTGCAGTATGCTTTTTAAAATCTTTCACTATCTATTATTTTTCAGTCTAAAGTATGGCATAAGATGTACTTGTAGATATTTCTTTTAAAACAATCGACTAAAATGAGTAGAAAGTCTGATGAGCAAAGCGTCACAAATTCAACAATCGTTGAAACTTATCGGGTTGATAAAAAGCCTGTAAAGGGAGCAAAAACATCTTCGTCACATTCATCAAAAGAAGATATGTCACTGAAAACGTATTTAAAACGAGCAAAGAGTATTGAGAATGTTTTACGAAGGATCAAATCCAAATTACATGCTCGTCTAATTGATAATGTCATTGATTTTATTCGTCAAAATGAACTATTTCGTCATAATCATAAATGTTTTGAACATATTCCCACTGCAACTCTAGTAATGGGTAAGTTTTTTAACTTTGAAATACATAGAGTACATATAATGATTATTTCACTTTATTTAGGCACAAATATATCTGATCATATCCAATTATTCTATGAACTAAATGATCAAATACATTTAGAGTTCAATAGTGTATTGGTCACGTTAAATGAAGCAGATTGTGTTTCAGTGGGAAAAATTTTGACCACAACAAAATGTGCTTTGAATGAGGTAATTAGATAAAAAGACCACTTTCTTCTTTGCCCTTCATTTCTTGTTTCTTGTAGTTTTATCCAGACGATGAAGACGATTTATATTTTAGATTTAGTAAATTTATCTCATTCTATCAACAAGTAAGATATATCTATTTTTCAACAATATGCCAACTTTTGTTTTCATTTAGCTTGATGAAACCAAAAAGCGATCTTTAATATTCATTATTCCTGAATTTGAATCGATCAGTCTAACCATATTTGAAAATTTTGTTACATTACTTGGGTAAATGAGTACAATCAAAATGTTGAATTCAAATTATTTACAGTTATTCATACCAACACCTTTTTATTTTCAGTTTACAAATAAAATCAATATCAATTTTATTGATAGTTGGTTTTCGTGGTGGTAACAATTCATTGCAACGTTTAGTATCAAGTCGTATATCATCGGTATTGTCCATTGACAAAATACAAAATTCAAGTCCGAGAAAATATTTTGAACACATCATTAAAGCAGTAAATGAAACACAAAGAAATCTTTCTTACTCAAATAAACCTTTGATAATGTTTTTTTCAGTTATTTTTATCGGAAGAAACGTACATGTCGATCACTAGTGAACAATTTAAATTTTTAGAAAATGGTTATTTGGAAAACTTTTCATTAACATGGCTTGAACATACATTAAAGGTAAATTAACAAGATGTAGTTATGTATCTGATGGAAACTCTTTTCTTTTTCAGTATATCTTATTTTTATCTCAACAACAACAACAACTTCTTTCTGCATCAGTGCAAACATTCGACACGTGTTTATTTAATGCATTATTTATTGCTTGTGACAAACTACCAAATTATCCTTTAGGACGAACACGATCATCATTCTATTATCTCTATTTATCATCTTATTTAAATAGTGACAAGTTTTTAAATGAATTGGTGTTGTCTATTAATTCAGCTACATATCATCAATTAGATTTATGTCTAAAAGTGTTCATAGAACATGCGTGTTATTCTAAACTTTCTAATTGTCAACAATTTGTTCAATATGCACATAATATTTTAGAATCAATTGTTGACAATGCAGATGATGATGATACAGTAACAAAATGTATTACATTACGTTCATTGATAGATAAAAAATTATCAAAATATAGAGAGAAAGTTTATCAATGGATTAAACAAATTTGTAAAACATTTGAACAAGAACAGAATGATTATTCGGATAAGACAGGCATATTGAATGAACGTCTAATGCCAATAACGCGAGCAAATTTTATTAAGGAGCTAATGGAAATGAAGTTCTGGAATCCGGTGAATAATATGACGTATGACACACCCGATTTAGCTCGTTTATATCAGACATATTCCGAATGTGGAACAAAAATTTCACTCGTTCACTGGTTTGAAGTAAGATTATTTTGTTGTTTCTTATTGAATGTTAAACTTGGCGAGTGTGACAGATATCACAAATTCATCTGTTTTGTTATTTTTTAGTCATTTGCGTCCAGTTTTGATGGAAATAATCACAAATTGTTGACGTAAGAATTCAATGTAAAATTATGTTAAAAAATATTTTTTACTGTTGTGTTATTTTGCAGTGCACGATTTGTTCACGGTTTGGTTGAGCTTGAATATCTTGGATTTACAAAAGCATCAATACAACGTTCATCTCACGCAACAAAATTGATATGGGACAGTTGATTTATACTTGTCAGATATATTTTCTTTACAATTCATTTGTCAGATATTTCTGAAATATTTTTTTCAGATACATATCTTTTACATATGTAATCATTAACTCTTCCTTTATTTGTAAAAAAAACGAAACTTTCAGCGAAATGCTAGAATTTTGAAATGTCGGCGTTATTCAAGAACAGTCAGTTTCAGATTCATGAAACACGTGACGTATCTATTTGAGAATATAATAGGTTTGTATATATTTTGAGTAACGTTTGATAATAAAGAGATAAAAACTTGCGGTTTACAGCATTTTGTAAGCAATTTCTTAATGGATCTTTGTAAGGAAGACCATTCATAATCTTCTTCTAAGATTATATTTCTGAAGGATCTGTGGAAAACTAGTTTAGATCTCAAAAATATGAAACAGAATGTTACTTTTTTACATGAATAATTCCAACTGTCCTTTTTAGTGTATGTTTTCCAGCAAACTTAAAAAATTTCGTAACTCATTCAAAACAGGTTAAAACACACTTCAAATATACTTTCTATATAATCAAAAATACTCGGTATACTCTACTTTACTTACTTTATGGACTGACATTCTTAGTCTGTTTTCCTCATCTTTGGAATAGAGCACCTCAGGACAAGAGATAATATCTTAATCTATGTCATGTTCTATAAAATTTTAATAATCATTAAATTCGAGCAATATCTCATCTGATAGAGAATTTCACAGGCTGCAAGACAGGCAACCTTAACATTTTTTTGATTGCGCAGTAAGTCTGATAAATCGAAAATTTAACAACATTTTGATAAGTAAATGTGGAATAGCACAAATTATCCACAGGGAGCAAACATCTAAATGACGATTTCTGCTATCGGTTCATTGCTAAAGGGAAAAGTTAGGGGAGATTTAGCAGAGATAATCGTTAGCGTAAATTCGTTCACAAAGATGGCCACGTGCATTACGATAGACCAGGAGTTGCCTAGGATTACCTACTTTGTGAGTTGAAGTTCAATTTCATTTTACGCAAAGGAAGGGTATCACAAAAAAAGTACAAAAAACTTATGGCATCCGTGAATACCCTATGATAACCCAAAAGCTAAAAGTTTTAATACACGATGAGTCTCTGCTATACATATACATACAATAGTGAAATAATTACTAGTCATGCTTTTTGTTGTTATGTGTGAAATGATCAAAAGCCAGCATGATCTCTCAACATATTTTTCAATACAGATAAAGACCAGCATGCTAAAACCGACGGTAGTCATTCCAACCTTTTGATGTTCGTGGAAGAAAGGAGCTAGATGCAAATTTTGACTTTAAACGTGTAAAAGCCATAAGGCGAGCTATGATCATGCGTCGATTACTCACTAATCTTACGACTGCATGTTTAGACAGCAGTATTCAAAAGAAAATTCGACTAAACCAATGAAATTAGAGATATGCACGGGTATGAAAATGTGCACGGAGTTCAGCTAAAGTGTTTTTTGCTTTAACGACATCACCTCACAACAATCAAATGCTTTTGTGAAGTTATGAACGTCTCATCAGTTTTTCAGTCATGTCAACTGCTGCTCTTTTACACACATTGATAGAAAGATGAGTAGCTGTGAGAGATTAACCGCCTAACTCCGAGAGCCTTTCCATAATAACTCACGGCCTTTGAGTAATCACCTATGTCACTGTAAAAACATTTCCAAGATTGCTGTATGTCGTGGTCACAGATGAATGATTCGGACCAAGTGTTTTCAACTGAAGTTCCAATGTCTTTTCATAAGTCAATAGAAATTCCATTGTTCTGGGAAATATTTGTTACATCTGTCCAGAAGAGAAATGTAAATATGCTATTGAATGTTTACGCTATTAGCAATTACATAATCGAACAACATTTTATCGAACAATGATGTTCATAGCAGTTATAGATTTCCTTATCTGATCTATGCCTTCTCACAGAATTAGAGGCATCAGTTTGCTCAGCGTAAAATCGAAAAAGACCGACCCGCATCGCATCTCGAAATGCAATCAGAGAACCCAAAGAGGCCTAGAGTTTCCTAACACTTTTAACTGACTTTGTTTTACAGAAAATTAGAATTTCTGCAAAACCTAAAAGAAAACATTACTCAAAGTAGCTTTAGCTACGTTCTTGCTTTGTTGTGACGCTAGGAAGCGAAAAACTTAGGAAGCGAAAATAGTTCTTAGCGGGCAGTAGGAAAGAAATGAGATATCTCCAACACGTGCACAAATTATGCTTTTTGTTATAATTTTTCTTTCTCATTTCTGACAGGTGGGTGAACCTGTTATACCCATCTCCTTCTACAGACTGGCAATTGCAGCAATATCTCTGCTTTCTAATTCATTGCCCGAAACACTCAACTTGAGAAGAGTATTTATCAAAGTAGAACAAGAAAATTTCCACTACTCTCTAAACAAAATAGGTTTATTACGAAAGCTAAAAGGGTATAGAGAAATGCAACCGTTTCGAAACCGCTTTAGGTTTCGTCTAAATCCCTTTTGGGTTTCGTGCTTTGACTTTTATGGTTCTAGGCGAACATAAAGGTTTCGTAGTCGAAGTACGAAACCCAAAAAGGATTCATACGAAACCTAAAACAGTTTCGAAATGGATGCACTTCTCTATACCCTTTTAGGTTTCGTGATAAACCTATTTTTTTTAGAGAGTAGGGAGGTCACAGTGGGATACATTAAGTTCTTCTAATTTCATCAGACTGGAAATTGCAACAATATCTGCGGTTTCTAATTCATTGTACGAAACATTCAACTTGAGAAGATTTCTCAAAGTAGAGTTTTGAAACGAAAGAGGACTTTCACTATCGAGTTCACAGTGGTGTCCCACATTAAGTTCTTCTAGTCCCAGACTGGCAATTGCAGCAATATCCCTGATTCCTAATTCATTGCACGAAACATCCAGGTTAAACAAAGTACCTTTCAAAGCAGAGTTGTTGTTTCCAAAAGTAAGAAAGCTTCCTATAGGATAGTGACAGTCGGATATATCAAGTTCTTCTAGTCTTAGGCTAACAATCTCTTTTAAACTATCGCTGTATGACTTGCAACTACTCACATTCAAAGAAGATGTTTGCATATGCTTGAAAAACCATCCAAGAATCTTCCATATATTTTCGTATCTCATCAGATTCTCTTCGGATGGTAGAATCCGTATCTTGTTAATAAAACTAATAAAACATAAACCTTCCAAACTAGCATAATTTGCACAAGAATCTCCAGATGAACATATTGTGGCTGTGTCTTTGAGAACCCCAACTCCTATACTGAATGCATTTGCCAGCCCATTCAGAGGTCCTAAGTATGTATTACCGCTGACAAAATTCACATTGTCCGGAATGATGTTTTCACGCTCATCCTTAACCTCAAGAACAATATCTTTTGAATGTATACCCAAGAAACTCTTTTTAGCCACGTTTTTGAAGAAGAATTTTCTCTTCATTTTTATCTCGTATAGAGCATCTTTATCAAGATCTGAGGTATCCTCTGGTGCTTCTTTGCAGAAGTTTTCTTTATAGAAAATTTTCCTTAAGAATTATAGTTATAAAAGAAATAAAATTATCTGCACTACCTATCATTCATTCAGGCGTATGGTATTAATCGTGTTATGGTGCCGATGGCATTTTTATCACCAGGTGTGAATTATCCCAAGCACGTCGACTTATTTGTTTGACACACGTAAGTCGCAAGGCTCGTGAACATCGAGAATTGGTATTAGGTAAAGAAAAATGATTGGTTATTGGAAAAGATATCGTCAGTTTACAACTAGTTTTCAATGATCATTTCTTTTGTACCGCAGCTAGATTGATGATAATGAAATGGATTGCTGACAAAGATCTTAATGCATTTAGAAAATATTTTAAAGAGCAGTGTATTATCATTACCATTTTGGTATGAAAGAAGTGCAAATTTTAGTTCATCTATCAACAACGGTCTTGAATCGTTGAATAGTAAAATAAAACAAATATACTTATTACATAATGAATTGTCATTCTCATCATCCTTAGAAATAGCTTAACGTATGTTGTATAACTGGTCATTAGCTAGTACTAATACACCACTTTAGTCAAATTTGAGTGAACTTTTTAGTTCATATTTTCCTACTGTTCCACTAATGATAAAAAGTTGCTATTCTAGAGAGTTAGTCACCATATCCAACTCTATGATAATCCAATAAAACATGGATGAATATTAACTTCCTCTGTTTTGCTAAATGACCATCTGGTTGCACACTGCTCTGGGAGAGCTGATTATAAGCAAGCTAGTCAGATCGAAGAAATCAAATGTGGAATGTAAGTAGGACTTTTTTTTTCAAAATATGGAACATTTGTAAAACCCTGTTTTCTCCATCGGAAGATGAGTAAGGGACTGGAAATTGTGTTTTCTGTATCTTGCACACACAAATTAGTTGCATCCAGGGGTGTCCCGGTAAGGGGAGGAGAGGGATCACCCCCTGCTTTTTGAAAAACTTACTCCGAAATCAGGATTTTTTTACTCCGAAAATTAGGTCTTTGACTTACGAGAATATCCCACGGAGTAAAGCGTTTACTCGTATTTTCAGAGTAAGACAATTACTCTCATTTTTATAGTATAAAAGGCTTACTCTCAGTTTCGAAGTAAAGCGCTTATTTCCATTTTCAGAGTAAGGAGTTTACTCTCAATTTTGGAGTAAGATATTTATTCCCATTTTGAGAGTAAAAGGCTTACTCTCAGTTTCGTAGTTAGGAATTTACTCTCTTTTCAAAAGTAAGATATTTACTTCTATTTTCGGAGTAAGGCATAGACCTCCATTTTTAGAGTAAAGCGTTTGTTTTTTCTCTTTCTGTGTACATAAATAAGATAAGATAAGTAGAATAGACTGTATCATGGCTGTGTTTATAAGATGTTTTTATATTACAAGACTTTATGTTGAAGTAAATAGAGTTAGATAGAAGGAAATTCAGTCTTGCTTTAGAACAAAACTGCTTAGAATATTTATCTTTTCTTTTTAGTTTTACTCCAATTTTTAAAAGCATAAAAATTAGTCCGAAACTGACTTCATCCCCCCTCCCTCTTCCCTCCGAGGTATCGGGGCGCTCCTGAAGATATATCGATAAAATAACTTCAGATGTGTCACCTACAGCTGTTGCACTAGTGAATGATGTTTTCTCACTTCTGTACGATTACTGATAAGTGAGAACAAGTGGCTGACTCGAAGCAGAAAGTAGGTCTAGAAGAAAGAAGAAATTTTTGTAGTGAAAAGAATAAGCCACTCTGACTTTCACTCGGTCGGCTTAATCAAAAAATTTGTGTCACAGAGGCGGATGACAGCAACAGCGATAAGAAAACGGTAAGTAATTAGATCATTGCGTTACGTATGTCCAATGAGCTAGCGGCGGAACCAGGATTTCGTGCTGGAGAGGGCTCAGTCCATCACTTTTCTGGAGTTCGGTCTGAAGTAGTGCTAATAAATTTAAGCTGAATTTCAGGAAAAATTTTAACAAACTGTCTGCGCGGGGCTCAGAGCTTTCTAGGCAGGGCTCAGCCCAGTCTAGCCCTGTTGGTGGCCACTGCAATGAGCAGTTAAAAAGAAACTCTGATCATGAAAGTGTTTCACACGTATTTCCTATCCTACGCGTTCCGACCCGGATAGAGCGCTACTCATACGCCCGTTGTACGCGCAACGTTTCGATCGGTATACATGATGAACGTGTATGCACGGCGCGTCCCCAGCGTGACCTGATTTTCTCTTTCTACAGTTCCATAGTAACATGTTTATCTGACATCTATGATAAACTTCTAAAAATGCTCCATGGTACGCAATGCATTTTGTACAGTAAATATGCATGACGTACGCGTACGTCATGCGCACGTTGTGTACAGAGCGTGACATGAAGCATTCGACGGGTGTACGGCCTGATCTGGGCAAACCACACGTAACGCATCTGCAATGTCTGATTTCACACGTATATGAAGCATGCGTTTCGAACGTATATAAAACATTCGGAACGCGAACATTCTCCATTTGAGTCGACTTGGGAACCAAGAACTCTAGATGTCGCTGTTTAAAAAACTTTACCCTCAAATTTACACCCAAAATGTATCATTCATAGAGCAGTTTCGTGGGTCTTGCCGGAAAAATACTTTATTTTCTTGAAAAGGATAAAAAACAATTTAATACTTGTTTTTTTATGCTGCCATTTTGTTCTTTTGCGTATTTTTGAAAATTGACGGCTAGCCTTCTCAAAATTTTCTGCTACTACATATCAGTTTACGGCTAGTTTGATGGCTTAAGTGTAAAAGCTAGGCGTAAGTCACCAGTGTCAACGTAAGTTCATGCTGCCGTTTAGGATTTGCGTCTGCGGTGTTGTCTGATAGGTAGTTGGTTAATACGATTTGTTTGTTTGATATTCAGGCAGTAGAAAAAAGAAATGGACGAAGCTGCGGTAAGAAGAGTGAATTATGCGTTCTGTGTTTGACGTTTTAGATATTATCCTCAAATATTGGTTTAGGTTTGTTCATAGCCATCGATCAGAGATGTACGGAGGACGGAAAGTTTGGCGTGAGAAAAATATTTTTTTGTTTGGGGACGGGAAGCGAACTATGGACCCTCTGTGCATCTCTGGCATCGATCCATCAAAAAACGATCTTGCTGTAAGAATATTGGTTTATTCGTTTTGGATGTGATTATCCACTAAAACCTGCTATATATTGATCCGATTTTGCTCTAAATGTAGACCAATTATAGAGTGGAGAGCAGAAGCCTGTTTCTCAAAAAGCTTAAGTAGCAGTAGTAGCACTTATTCACGAAAAGTGATTATTCGTACTAAAAGTAAGTATTCCACTTAAGTGGATGTTTCAGGCAAAAATTGAGTAGTTACAGTTTAATTTCCCTTTAAGTGTGTTTCTCAAAAAAACTTAAGTTAAACAGAGGTCATGCAGTAAAAAACACTCATGTTTATCAAATTTAGATTATTTTGATGAAATTTTTTGAACAAAATCCTTCTAAAATAAAAAAGTTACAAATTATAAATAATTTTTTACTTCAAAAATTACGTAAAAACTTAAGGGTGGTCGAGATGTCCCTTAAGTTAAGATGCTTTCGAGAAACTCCCTTAGTAAAAAAATCTTAAGTCAAATTTTTCACTTAAGCAAAAGTTTTTAAGCAAAAGTTTTTTTGAGGAACAGGCTCTAGGAGAAGAACAGAAAAAGACAGGGCACAAATCAATACATAGTTAGTGGAAGGGAACACTAGAACTAAAACTTCTATTGCATCATCACGTTTACTTTTGGATTAAACGGTCTAAAGGTAAAACTGAAGTATTGTTAGCCTCGTTTTGAGCACTGCTGCAGTGTCGTTAACCGTACTGCTTGGCACATTATGTTTTTTTGATAAGACAATCCTGTCTCAAATGTAAGAAGTTGTTTTAGTTTTCTGTATTTTGTGTGTACCACGTTTTCTTGTAAGGATGTTTGTTTTTTGGTGTTCTGATTTCTTTTCTATCCATTCATTCATTTTATCCTTTGACAATCATTCACTTTACTTTTTGTTTTTCGTGTTTCTTAGAGAAACATATTTTTATGCTAAATATATTCAACTTTGTAGTTAGCTCTTTGGGCTTCTATTGTTAAAGTCCTAGAAGCATATATGTAATATATACACATAAATATTTAAAAGAAAAAAACTGGTAGTTTAATCTTATTTTAACATCGCTTTTGACTTCACGAATTGCTAAGCAGATTTAGAAGTTTGAACTGAATACTATAAGTTGCTAGAACTTGACGTACAAAGAATTTGAGGAAGATGCTTTCTATCGATTGTAATGGATTTTTTTTCAAAATTTAGATATTGAGCATGATGGTTTGATTCTCCTACCCAAATTATATATTCGTGTGTGCATACTATATTAATCAAGCAATCGTCACTTCGAGCAAAAAAATGAACAGTAGTAAAGAATTAAAATTTGATGTAGAAAAATGTGTACGAGTGTTGAAAGTTTTCATAAAAAAGGATTCAAGATTAATGAAAAATGATTCAGTATTAACAATAATTGATGCAGATGATCCCGGTAAGAGGATGAAATATACAATAGTATATTTTTGATGATCGGTTGCAGAAAATAGAAGTTAATTGGAATTCAGTTGTTCGCTCACTACTCTATTTAGCCAAAGTGTTCTTTTTTGTTATAGCGGCAAAGAGAGAAACTTGGTTATCGCCAATATCCGGAATTGTTACCAAATTGTATGTTCATGAACGTGATATATTATCGTTTGGGTAAGCAAAATATTGATACTGAATCAATAGCTATATATGTTCTTATTTAGTTCTTTTTAGTTCAATCATACTTGAGTATGAGCAGTGTTCGCATCCAGTTATACTCAAGTTTATGTGTGCTGATTGTGGTGCTGATCTGAAAAAGTAGGACTCAGACGTGATAAAAGTCAACTTCTAACTGTACTAAAAGCCACTGATTCTTTTTTTTCTTAAAAGCCAGATAGAAAGCGAAGCATATAAAAACAACACAACAGCTTCCGTGCCAATGGTCCATACGGTGCCAGAATTGATGATTACAAAACAGGTAGCAAACATAAAGTTTTTGTATCTGAATCAATATATGTCCATGCATTTTCTTTATTAAAGGAAGCTGAACGATATGGAATAGAAGAACGTGATCGTTTGTTAAAATTACGCAAATTAGATTTGCTTGTTGATCTGGATCAAACGCTGATTCATACGACAAATGCTGACCATTATCCGTATTCTCCAGTAAGAATGGCAATTGTAAACATAGCATGGTATAGAAAGTAGAATTTGTATTTTTCCAGGATGTTATATCTTATCCATTACACAATGGTGTATTTTATACAAAATTGCGCCCAGGTGTGAAAGAGTTCTTGACCAATTTATCGCCGTTGTACCAATTTCACATTGTTACATTTGGAGAAAGACTTTATGCACATAATATAGCCAATTTTATTGATCCTGATAAGAAATTTTTTTACGGTAAATAGTAGAGCTAAAGACGAGAATAACTGTTAAATTTTTTGTTAACTCTAATTCATAGATCGTATTTTGTCACGCAACGAGTGTTTTGATCAAACAAGAAAAACTGCGAATTTGAGGTAACTTTGTTTTATGCACAGTAAATGAAAAACTTTCACCGTTCTATACTTCAGTTCATTATTTCCATGTGGTGATTCGTTAGTGTGCATAATTGATGATCGTGAAGATGTATGGAATTATGCAAAAAACCTTGTTCATGTCAAACCGTACCTGTGGTTCAAAAATGTTGGCGATATCAATGATATTTCCTTACCACCACCACCATCACCAGGCAATCAACTCATACCACCAATTAGTGAACAAGAGTTTCAAAAGCAACTGGAAAACAGCCAACAAATTCAGGATGAACGAAATGAATTAGAAAATAACACGATACTTGAACATTTGAATAGATCACAGTCAATAAATAACATCGAACAAGGTCTACCACGTGGCGAGAAACGACGACTTGATACTGACACTACTGACAACAACTATGAAACTAGTAGTACAACATCTAATGATGATACTAATAACAAAAGATTAAAACAAAATGATGAACCCGCTGAGTCGAATGAGCAAATGACGGATCACTAGTAAGTTGAAGTAAATCATTTCAACATTGTACTTCGACATTGTTTATTTTTGGTGAACCGCTTGATTTGAAGCTTACGTTGTTCATCATATACTTCGAAATACTGTATTCGAACCTTGATGTCAATAAGTCACGTACTAAATCCTAAACGCGTTATGTGTTTACATATATCGAATCACTTATCTTTCAGCTTACTTACTATATAGTAACAGTGACTGTTCCTTATTTGAATTTAGCTCAGCGACAATTGAAAAAACATTATCAGATACTTCAGTCACATCAAAGTTCGAATTATCACCGGAACAGCAACCACAACAAGAAACTATTCAATACAATGATTACAATCTGATTATCCAAGATGAAGATACTTATCTTAATCAATTAGAAATCATTCTAAAGCGTATACATGAAGCGTTTTATAACGCCTACGATATATGGTTGCAAACAAAACAACGTGATTCAATGCCTGATCTGAAACAGATTGTGCCAGATATTCGACGACAAGTATTAAGCGACGCATCAATATGTTTTAGTGGTATAATGCACGTGGATCATCCACTGGAAAAGCATCGAGCCTATATTATAGCCAAAGCATTAGGCGCAAATGTAACAAAAGATTTAGCTTTGGATGATGGTTGTGGTGATGATGACACGGAAACAAGTATGAAAACAACACATTTAGTAGCTGGAAAAGAAACACAAAAGGTACATCGTGCAAGAAAACATAATATCCATGTTGTTACACCCGAATGGTTAATCGATTGTTATGAACAATGGGAAGCTAAAAATGAAATGAATTATCTGCTAGATAATAAATATGATGTTAGAAAATCACGGTTATTTATCGATGAAGGGCCACGAGGAATGAAACGTTTGAGAGGTGATGGAGACAGACACCATCATCGTTATGATCAAAAACAAGATAAAACAACTGTGTCAAAGAGTACGGCAGCAACAGATAGCAGCAATAGAGACAAAAATACTCAGGATATCGCTGAAGCATTGCAACAAAGTCAAGTATGTATACAATCTTAAAACCGAATAAAGCAAGATTATAGATAGATTGATGAAAAAACTTCGAGAAAGAATAGAAAAACTAAATTAATTCTAATTTGCATTTTTTTAAACAATTACAGACACCTCAGGGAGAAGATTCTGGTACGACTTTAACTGCAACCAATAATGAATCGATATCGAGTTCAACAGTTATTAAAAATAATGAAGAAGATGGCAATAAAAACCACAGACGACGACGAAATAATGAACATGAATTTTTATTTAGTATGAGTATGGATGAACTAGAAGAAATGGAAAAAGAAGTGGATGATTTTTGTAGTGATACAAATGATGATGATGATGATGATGAAGACAACGAACAATCTAAACCAAATGACCTTTCAAAATACGATCCGACATTCGAAGAAGAAGAAAATGATGATGATTTGGATGGAGAGGATGCTGAACAAGAGGAAACTTTAAGAAATTTAGTTTTAGGAACAAATAGAAAAGCCGAATACAATGATTCGGATGAAGACAGTCTCGGTGGAGGTGATGTTCCGAAAGGGTGGAAAAAAGAAGTAAACAACCATACGTTATGAATCTAATTGTATTTTTGTGTATGTATTTTTGTTTCTTACGTTCATACGACAAAGTGCTATGATACTTTGTTATTTTGCACATCTTTTCTGTTGAGTTTCGGCGATAAGAATACAGCTTTTTGTTATTTACTTTCTTAAAAAAATTATTATTTTTTAAAAAACAATACAAAGTTATAGACAAAACAGCTTCGACAGAAAACTTCAATAGGTTTCTGTTAAGCTAAGAGATGAACTTCATTTTTTGCCAAAATTTGAGAAAAAAACGTGTGTCTCCTCCAGAAAATATAATGACCATTATTTTCATCCTCCAAGCATGTATTCTTGGATTCTGTATCAGACAGAATACAGAACATCGAGAAAGCTCTAATCTAGCTTTAAATCGATAAAAAATGCTTCGCAAAGTAATTGAAGTATAGTTATAACAAGATTCGGTTTTAAAATTCCATAAATACGTGCTTATAGATACATAGGGAAAACTATAAAAGTATATAATGCATCAAACAACTCCATTCAGCGCTTTAAAAAACGAACAAGATCAGTATTTTGAGATCGAATGTTGAAACAATTTTAGTTAAATACTTTTTTTTAAACATTTTTTATTCATGAAATAATAGTGAAAAAAGTACGACAACAAGGAAAGAAACAAGAAGAAGAAGATATACAGCAAATCGGGATACCCGATTCTATGCCGGATTCTATATGAACACCATAGAACAAAATGAGTATATAGAGAAGAGAGATTGTAGTAGTATTGATGAAGAGAGAGAGAATGGAAATCGACTTCTAAGACCCGCTCTATCCGTATGACATCCTACTCATGGAGGCTTAGTACAGCATGACTAATTGAATTAGGTCCTGCTTAGGCAGTACTCGGATAGATTCATGATTCAAAAGTATATGTGATTATCTTTAAGAACAATACGCAGCTCCTCAAACACTAGATTACGAGACTTTTTATAAAGAGCACAGTCCATGAAAAAGTGTTTAGCAGTCTCTCTGCTAAAGCCACATGTACACGTCGGTGACCTTTCTAATCCACCTCTGGTGAAGGGATAGTCATTTAGTTGGGGATTATCAACTCTACATCGTGTGTGATGTATTTCCAACCGCCGATCATGCATTAACGGTAAACAAAAGGACGGAATATATTGTAAGACTAATCTGAGCTCAATTTATGTATTGAACGTATATCATTAGGTAGAAGATTCCATGCACGAATACCCTCCCGAATAAAGGATGTTTCCAATAGAGCCCGATCTCTTAAATTCGACGAGATGTTTCCTCGACTCAAACTTCGGGTTTGGTAAACCTGGGATCCTGGCATAGGACGAAGTGCAATACGATAAGTAGCAGTTTTATTGTGCATGATTTTATGAAACAAGCACATGCATGCGTCGAACATGAATAAGTTCATTAATTGATAACCAACCCAGGTCTTTTAGAAGTTTCACATGTGATATGCCCCTCATAACACCAGAGACAGCTAAAGCGGCCTGATATTGAATTTGCCTTAGACAATAGACATTACGTAACTCAGTCCCGCCATAAATAACGATTCCATAGTTGAGAATACTCAACAGGAAGGTGTAATACATAGATTCAAGAGTTTGTCGAGAATCTGTCTACTCAAAAACTTCATCGATCCTACAATATGTGACAAACTGATATAAAGGTTATTTATGTACGATCTCCATTCAAAGGTTGTAGTTAAAGTTAAACCCAAATGGACATGTTTCTCAACATACTCTAATACGATGTTACCAATCAACAGAGGAGGTAGACGGCCCTGGGTGCTTTCACAAGTGAATAGCATGTAAACACACTTATTAACGTTTAGGGGCAACGCCCATTTCTTGGAATACTGGAATAGTTAAATACTTGTACAACTGTTGTCGTAGGCATCGATCCACATAAAGTTTTATCGTTTAATAACGGTTTATTCACTCTCGATTGGAATTATCCATGATCCTTCTATACAATTGCTCTAACATTTTATCATATAGTTTCTGTATGAACAATCTAAGATAAAAGTTATAATAATAGTGCAAGATTAACTAAAAGAAATCTACGTCAAAAAGTTGACAAATCTTTAAATGAGTTCTTAAAAAATCTGTTAAGTCCCCCAATAAAGTTTTTTCGAAAATTAAAAGTAATTTATCTGCAGTTTTTTTTGTACTAGAGGTGTATACTACTGGAAAATGTAAGCGGTATGCTCTCGTTTTAGAATATAAATGTTTAAGTATAAATAAATGTTCTCTTATGTGTATATGAAATGAAACAATTTCGAACATTGCAACGACAACCAAAAAGGAATTCATGTATCTTGGACGTGCAATTAACAACAATATTTGATAATCCTGCTAGTAAACATATTTGATTATTGAGTCTAGACTAACAATGAAAGCAGCCTTTTATATTAACTTAAAGCTGACTCAGATACATATTGTTTTCGTGCAAGATGATCTCGTTTTCTAGCGAAAAGAACATCCTGCGGTATATGTAAATTTCTTCCTGTGCTTGTGTAAAAAAAATTTACAGACTATGAAAATAGAGTTTTTTTACAAACACAGCACATCGTATGAATATAAAAAAGACACGGTCGCGCTCGTTGGCTATTTTTCCCGTCATAAAAATGCTAGACGGCAATTGCTAGTAGCGAGCAGATGCTCTATGCACGAGTTTCTGATACAACATGTCGTAAAAAATCGTAGTTTTCGCACAGCTGTACGTTATTTGTAGTCTTTGACACGATATTGTTCTCGCTGGAACCAGAAAAGTTTCTCAGGGCGAAAGTCCAGACACAAAGTCTCAAAACACGTGATTCTATTACGAAGCATTTATCGCTTTACACAGCCGGGTTAATATTTTTTCTTGTATTCATTTTTTCGGCCAGTCGGAGCAGTTGAGTGTGCTTTTCTTTGCTGACATCTCAAAATTTGCAATTCCATTTTTGTGATTACACCACACCTATATGCATCTATTGCACCACACAGACTATGACAACGCAAGCGCCACGTACGCATCTCGAGACCGGGTTTCTGGAAAACCGGTTCTGTTTTTTGCAGACCAGTTGGGCTTGAAAAAGCATTTTGATTCGTCTAGATCGTAGAGCATGTCCAGAAGATCTACCATCGCACACTCCGGCAATAATCGATGAATTTATGCCAAGAATGTTAGAAGAATATTGATGTGAAGATATTATAACAAAGTCAGCTTTAAACTGCAGTCGACAATCTGCTAAATGATATCAGCCAGAGTTCTCTGCATCCTCCTTTTCTAGAGTATACTGTCGTTTCTATCATGATATCAGTCAATATTGGTATGCTGTCTATCAATATTTATCGCCGGCAGAATACTGGATTGAGCTATGGGACGTTAGTGATGACATCACTGGACGTCTGATGACAAACGCACTGTTGAGTCATAGTTATTGTCATCTAATTACAACATTTGTAATTGGGATGATGATTCAATCTTCTACAATGATTTGTAAGTGAGTCAGCCAACGAATTTGCCCTGCGACTAGGTACCCACCGATACCGGTACTATCGGTGGTATCGGATATTGATGATTCTTTTTAAAAAAAACTTAAATTCATAATCTTTTCTATGAAGAAAGCCTCAAACAGACTTGAGCGTGCTGCACAATATTTAATTTTCTACATTTTGTCTGTTAGACTGAATTTTACCAAACTTTGTTTTAGCTTGCGAAAACAGTTTTTTTTTCGTTTTTGACTTTGAAGATCGATCCATAGAGACCCGACTCTAGCAATAAGGGAAACGAGAATTTTATTAAAATCTTTTATAAATTAATTTTAATTAAAGATAATCTGAAAAAATAGGGACTGGGGGTGTCCTTAATTTTTAATTTTTTGGGGGGGAAGGAATTTTATTAAACGTTCCAGAACAATGAGCTACTTTAATCAAAAAAAGTGATGTTTCGAACACTACTAGCGGTTTTCTCGAGGACGATATGCGCACATTCTACTTTAGAACGCGAAATGCTCCTGCTTCCTAGCCCTCGATCCCTAAAGGACTTTCCTTGTCAAACGTGTGCCGTATGATGCATGTTTGGATGAAATGATGAAAATCTCGATTTTTATGCCAGTTTCACTACTGAAACCCGCTTGGAAACATAAAAGATTTGTATCAGCGTTTAACGTCGTCCGATCAACGTAAAACTTTGTGCATATACGCATCTAGAATGGTTGTTTGAAGAAAAGACACGAAATAACGTTTTGAACCTAATTTGTTGCGTCAAATTATAGCAGGTGCCGGTTCTTCGCTTATAGTGCTTCTGTTTCATGGAATTTTAGTTCTTTTATGTGTCACAAATTTAGTACTTGTCACGTACTACCCCTTCATGTATTCGCCATGCTTCTTTAGTCCATCATGTCCAACAAAATTTAATCGATAAAAATAGTTCCTAATCATGGCAGTGAGTGCTGTAACCAAGATGATGAGTTTTTTAATCACAGATGATTCATAAAAAAGTTCTAACAAATGTCTTGAAACAAATTGATGGTGCGTGGGTAGCCATGCCTACTAGCTCAAATACTTCCTGACAATCTTGATTAACTCTACTCTGTGGCGTTTTATCTCTAAACGGCAGTACTTTTGGTATGACTTAAGTATGTCTTTTCAATTTGTTACATTTGTTTCTCGATAATTTTTCTTATATTCAACAGCTTTTTTAATCAATCTTTCCTTTTAGCCGTTATTAATGGGCAAAAGAACTCAATGGAGACGCTAATTTAGTTCTCTTTTTTAATGGTAAATTTATCAAGTTATCCATATCATTCTGGAAAAAAATAACTGTTTGGCAAAAACAAATCGAAACCATACAGTCATAATCAAGTATTACAAACGTAGTGCGACAACGAAAAAAACGTACTTATAAATAAATAGTAATCAAAATAACTATCAAAAAATGAAAAAATGCTTGAATTACAATTACCTAAAATTTCTGCAAAAAATAATTAATAATACAAGTTAAAATCTCACAGAGACGTTATCGAATTATTTCGGTTGTGTTTTAAAACCCAAGAAGGTCGACCAAAATAGTGATACAAGATTGACAAATAACACTCTATGTTGAACGGGAATGAAATAAAAATTCGTTAACTGAATAGCTGGCCACACAGCATAATTTGCTTTCAATATACTTGGTAAATCCTACGTAAACAAATGGTATAAACAAGATGTATACATAAAATATAAAAGAATCCATACTTTTCGAACAGTAGCTTTAGTTTCTTGCCATGATTTTCCATTGGACCATGGTAAATAAGCGACCAATGCACCGTTCAGTAGCGGAGCACCAATCATCTAAAAAAGTTACAATTATTTTAAGTTCATACGAATATATTCATTTGTTACATTATTGGAAAAAGTAATGTTACCTGATCAACAATCATCATCTTAACTGGTTTCAATTTTGCGGCAGCAAAATATTTATCTAAACCAAAATACCAAAAACGTAAAAATGGACCCTAAAATCAATACTTTTATTCAAACCATATGCCCTTCATAGAAAATTTTTTCAAAATAACTTACTGAAAATATATAACCATATGCAGCGAATCGTGTAATTCTTCCCCAGTCTATATTTTCTTTTTTCTCAATAACTTTTTGAGAAATTATATTTCCAAGTCCCATTGTAGTGCCTGAAACAGATGTATCTCATATTAAATGTACAAATTAAATTAGACAGTAAATGTCTTACCAGTAGTTAGGGACATAGCTAATGTTGGATACTTATGTAAAAATCGATTGTAAGCTTTTAGTGCACTAGCCATCTCTATAACAGTTATAACAAGACAGTATCTTGTTCAAGTATTTGTACAAATTTTAATGATCTATTGTTATTCATTTTTATTTAAATTAAAATTCTTGCATGTGTGTGAAAGTTTAATAAAATATCTTAGAACAACGCACATTGTCTATCAACTATTTTTTCCCATTAAAACTTACATAAAACTATCACTGTATATTTAAAAAGAAAATATACAAAAAAAAGCTAGACATATACAAAAAAATAATAATCGGACTACAGTACATGTATTACAATAATTTTAAACCGTACGATTGTAACTATCCCCTTTGAAATTAAACTTCATTCAGTCAGAAAATATCAAGATCTAATTAATTAAGACCAAATAGTAATATGAAGTAGAATCAATTATGTTTTTTTTATCTTAAAATTCATATCGTTCATGCTACCGATAATGAAACGAATCTTAGTCACACATACGTCTTCACTTTTCTCCTCATTTTAATTGAAAGCCGTAAATTTACATTCTTTTCGGTTAGAAAAATATTATCAATCCAAGGAACATTAATAAAAAAATTTTTCACTGTTCTTCTTTTAATGTCTACAGTTGGAACTCAAGAATCTATAGTTCACTATTTTCCTTCGATTTTCTTTAGTGTATATAATCTGCTCAATTCAACCTTTCTTTTATGTACGGCTCCAACGTTCATTCATATTGAAAAACAACAAAATGAAGAACAAACAAACAAAAAACTAAAAATTCCGTTTCACATAATCATTCATTTGACTAGCTGCAAGACGAAAGACACATCAGCTGAAGTCTTTAAACTACAAATTTGACATAAAATAAAAAAAATGCAAATCTATCACAACAAACGGAATGAAATAGATAAAGGAAAGCGAAAACTTAAAAAATTGCACATTCTGAGTTAACAAAAAGAAAAGAAAAGAAAATAAGAATGAACAATCAGATAACATTGACACAAAGGTCAGTTCTTTTCCATTGCACGATACATGAATTTTGAAGACGATGATAATTAAATGTGTTACTGTAAGATTTGTAACGTTGATTATAGTGTCTAAAATCAGTTATAGTGCGTGGAAAATCGATTAATAAACGCCGATAACGAATATAATCATCAATACAACGAATCAGTGATAGTGACGGAGGATTAGTTGAGTGATGCGGTGATAAACAGATGAATGGACAATAAATGGTCCGAAGGAGCCGTATTAGAAATTTGACACTGGCGTACGAGAGCGTTCATGATCATCAAGAAATTGGCCTAAACGCATTCGAGTTCGTTTACTTAAATGTGTCATCATTGAAATAAGGGCATTACGTTGCCTTGTTGTATAAACCTAAATAACAAAATTTATCTTATTTGCAATGAAAGGAAACGAAAAAAATGATTAAATTTATTACCGTATTATCACGAATCCACTGTTCAATTGACTGTTCCGGTAAATAGTAGGCTTTTATATAGTTTTCAACAAATTCTTTGTGAGGTAAAGGTCTAGGCAACAAAATCACAATAAACACCTATAGAATATTTTTTAAGAAGACTTACTTCATATCAATAATAATTTTTTCTAATTTTCTTAATAATTGTTGAAAATCCAGTTGCATCAGCGCACGTCCCTCATTTGAACAACGTTTTGCATTGGCATATCTAAAACATAAAGATATATGTTTGAAAGAGTCCAGACAATAATCAGCAACGTCCTGTTATTCATAAACTTCAATAAGGCACATTAACATTTTCCACTTTTCTTCATTTCAATTAACTAACTCAAATGAATGTACAAGACAACGTACCCTTCCACTAATGTATAGAAACATTTATCTAATATTTGATCCCAAACAGTGATATAAACTGCTTTTGGTATGGGTAATAATTGTTCATTAATATCATCGAATTTTGTTCGAAATATTTGCAATTCTTTAACTAATACATCAACATAAACATTGTGTTGTGTCATTATATCATGAATATCCCAGTTCACTTTAGATATCATTAACGCTATGGACATATAATCAATAACATTCGCTGAAACATTATGATAAATTGGAATACGTAATTCATGTGTAACTTGAATAGTTTGAGAATAGAATTGAGTTAAAAATGAACGTTTATCATCAGGTATCAATTGATTTAAATAGGGTAATAAAAAATCAAATTGTTCTGCTAGAAACACAAGTGATTCAGCAGCAACAACACGTTGAGGAAGACCATATAGTAGACTATTTGAACTATTTATGTCAACAAGGATTGATAAACTTGCTCGAGCGATTCTATCCTTAAATAAAAATTTAACATTAGAGTACAACTTTTAACATTTTCTTGTTTCTCTTACTTTTGTTTCCGAAGACGGTTGATCATTCTAAAAAAAAACAGATAAAAACATTTAAAATATTCAAAATAAAAATTGAACTATTAAAGGATGACTACTTTTAGAATAAGATTGTCACTTATTCGTTTGATGGTGAAACGTAATTTACTACCCAAGGCATCTAATGGTATTTCATTCTAAAAGAACAAAAGAAAACAATTATATTCTTCGGTATAAATAAAGAAAATAGTTTAAACTATTATTACCATGTCGCATGCAAACAAACTATAGACAGTATATAAATAATAATCAAACAATTGAGTCATACAAATAATAACATCGAATGCAATCGGTTTTAAAACGTTAATCATTTGCATATAACGTCCTAATAAATCAAAGTATTCATTAATAAATTTTGAGTGTAGAATCAAAAAAAGAGCACATACCAAATAATCTTGTGACATTTAATGTCGTATTGGTAACGATCGCTGGGCCAGTCTTATCATGATATTTTAATCTGGAACCACGATAATTGTCTTGTGTTGGACTAAAAAAAATTAAGAAGATACATATAAACAAGACTATTTTTCAAATATGAAATAAAAATACTTACGATTCATGATATCGATTTATTCGTTTCTCATTTTCTTCTTCGTCTTCATCATAGGAATCTTCGGGACTCGACTCTGTATAATTTTTTCGATACTAAATAATATATAATAGATAATTTCAACTTTAAATTATAATAAAATACAACAAAAACTTACCGATTGACTTTCATTGTCGAGTACATCTTCTATTGAATCTGTATCAATATAGTCACCTCGATTTGATTGACGTTTGTGTTCGATATCAAATGGATTTTGTTTATCATTTTGTAAATAATATTCAAATAAATTAATTTCTTGTTTTTGATTGAATGATGTTGATGTACCCAAATCGGATGTAATCGATGATGATTCAAGTAAAAAACGAAATTCCTATAGAATATAAACAAAATAAAAATAAGAACAAGTAATATACAGTATAAAATCATTATCATTTATTCTACTAACATGTAATTGAGTAATGTGAAATGTAGTTTTTACTGGACACCATTCCCATGATTCATTTTCTAAAAATAATTTTAATTCATCTAAACGTGTACTATGATATGAACGAAAATAATTGACACTTTGTCTTCTTAATGCATCTGTCAATATTGTAGAATCACTACGACAAAATTGTTCACCAATTTCCATTAATCTTGAAATAACAATATGATTAAATCAAAATAAATGGAAAAGATATATTTTTTTTTATGTGTTTTATTTTCTTATTTTTCATTTCAAATACCTGTTTATGACTTTCAATATATGTATGAATTGTTCAAATTTAAAATTTGTTATATCAGCTTCAATTAAAAAGATTTTTATTTTTTGTTGTATTTCATTCCACAGACGAACAGAACCATTTTCAAGTTTTTGCATAATATATACTTGACTTGGCTCAAGACTTTCATTAATAGCTGAATATAAGACGAAATATAAGACATATTTATGATATATCTTTTGAATTTTATTTACATTGTGTTTGAGGATTATCTTCATGCCATAAGTAAAGTAATCGATACGACTTGATTACTTGCCACATACACATATTCAATTCATTCAAGCATAATAAATACGTATCATCATTGATTAGCTAAAATAAATAAATTACGTAAACTCTATACATTTCAATAATTTGATATTATCATCACATTAATTTGTTAGATCATAAATTTTATTTGAACAATTTTTAGTTAGAACAAGAATATATCAAAAATTCTCATACTTTACACAGTTCAACATAAGATTTATTTAATAATGGCGTAGTCGATGATGATAATAAAGCTGTTTCATTTATTTTTGTTCCGGTTTCTACAGTTTTTAATACGATTTCAATTGTACGTGTTTGTATAATATTAATAAAATGCTTGAATAGAAAAATAAAGGAGAACGTTATTAAAATTGAAAGAAAAAAACATAATATTTTATTTATTTACCATTTGTAACTGATCCATAAATGTTGAAGATTTTTCTAATAGTCTATAAGCAACTAATAAGCGTTGATATGTTTCTTCATTGAAATGATAGCATACTCTAGCCATCGTAACATCAATTGATTCTTCAATACCTATTATTTTAAGAAAACGATTTAACATAACAGGACAAAGGAATGATGTTATCTAATATTACCGAGTAAGGCATCCTGGAATTTTGAACAAAGATCACTATAGCAAAAAAATAAAATGATAATTTAGAGAGAACAATTGTCAAAGAGTAAATGATTCATTACCGTATACACTCATACTGTTTGTATTCATCCGCAGCTCGTTGACACTCTGAACAAAGTTCAATAGCTCCAGCAAAATCTTCTTGCTAATAAAAATAAAACTTTAATTGATACAAGCACCTTTACCGTTCCATGAAAACTACAATCATACCTTGATCATTTCTTTCAATCTTTTATCTGTACCATGCTGAATGAAAAAAAAACAAATAAATAATGTATAAAAAGATATGGTAAAGTTCTCAAAATAAACATACCAGTTTTTTTAAATTTTTCATATTACTTAAAAGATTAGTCCATTGTTGTTTCTTCATCTCATTTTTAATTAAACCCAAGTTACGTATGGTCATTTGATATTGTGCCTGTTTCAAATTTCTGAAATAACACACACACACACACACACACTTTCTTAATTAAATAATTTTTCATATTATAAATATACATACCGTCGTGCTGCTGCACAAATCAACACTGATTGTTGAAGTGAAGATGTCAAATCTGTTACTCTCTGAAGTTCGGCAGCATAGGATGAACTATTTTCTAACACAAGTTTTGATACTCGTTTTGAAACCTAAAAATAAAAAAAAAGGATTGAGATATATTTTTCTTTTATCTATTAGATTTTATCAATATTACTATGTGTAATTGTACGTTCAAACGATCTTTTACTGATAAGACATCAGCTGTTTCAAATTTTTCTTTCAATGTTGATAACTTCTAAATTATTAGAGAAACATAATTGTTAGAAAAAACTAAATTCTCAATAATTATTTGTATATTACTTGTAATTCAAATAAATTTGAATCAAAATTTTCAGCGTTAAAATAATTTGGTTCAATTGAATTTAGTATTTCTTGTTCAGCTTTATTAAGACCTGAACGATATGGCTCCTAAAAAATAATGAAGAGAACGATAACAACTCTGCGCTAATTTCATTCAAATAAGAAAAAGGATTGAACAATATAGTTGTGAGTGAATGGCTCAGGCCCGTAGTCAGGATTTTTGCGAAGTTGGAGGATCGATTTTTTTTGCCTTTAGAGATAGTGTGAAGTCTTATCAACTAGCAACTTTTTCTGACGAGATTCAGTGGAAAAAAATCATTTTTTCAAAAGTCTAAGGGGGGACCAATCTTCTCAATCTCCCCTGGCTATGGCCCTGGAATGACTTCTGTTGACGAAAAAATTCTTTCGTATATCATCTTCTCGTTTGCTTGAATGAGGGACGAACTCTCTGTCTATAGAAGTGTTTGAGAACAAGGAAGATGGACACTTCGGTTAACCTGAAGCAATTCTGACAGTATCGAAATACTATTTTACTCGTAGTACAAATTCTACATAAAATATGAAGTATTTTTAAACAGCTTACTTTAGCCATGAATGATCTTTTAATCGTGTATATATATATATATATTCAAGATAAACTAAATTTCTCGTAAATGATTCAATAGTGTAAGATATATCTAAGATCTGTCGTGATAGTTAAATTAATCACTGTAGAAACGGTTCTCTTTTTTTATCTTGAATTGTAAGACACAACTCATTTCAACTCACCTGTATACTCCAGTTCTGATTCGATGACATACGTAGCTGTCTGAAGTAATAAAATGCACATTCACGCAGCTCATACTAGAAAGAAGTTATTTTCTATTCTGTACATAAATTTTATAGCTTTTATCTAAAAAACAATAAGCATTTATTTTTTTCTGTATAGTAAGAAGATACAACAATGCTTGATTCATTCGGAATATTTGACAAAATATCAATTTAAAATTTTTTAATTTCTCATAACGATTGATTGATAAAATGCACTTCATTATCATCTCTTAACATAAAAATCAGCCGAAAAAAAGACAATTTATTTATTTTAGATGATTCGTCTCACAAAAAAATTAAAAGTGAAACTATCATCATAAGACTTCTAATAGTATTTTAATAAGATAAATTATTGCATTCATTAAAATCTTTCAAAGATGAAACGGATACTTCAAAAAACCGATCGAATTACTTCGACTACTATCTAGTTTGTTGACTTAAAGAAGAGTTCTGTTGTAAAATCCAAAACCTAACGATATCCATATTGTTTCCAAATTTTAAACTTTTTTATTAAAAGAATTGATGCATGAAAATTTTTAGTCTTTCTTTTGATAACAGCAACCTCTATTAGCATACTTTAACATCCCATTTTCTTGCAATTAGATAATCAGAGAAAGAAATTATGATAGAAAATTTCTTTCACTTCATTATTTGCACACGTGCAATGCATCCGACGTTTATAATTCTATTTTTCGCGTTTTTTTCAAAATAGTTTATTCGTTGTTAAAACTGGAATATGGATGGCTAGAAGTATGGAACAACGTAACAAGACAAAAAAAAGAGAAAAAGACTGAAAAAAATCAAAATAATATAACAGTCATGATAACCATACATCAAACAAAATTGAAAATAGTGCGTTTTATCACATTTGTTATTCATAACTAAAGAAAATAAAAACTACTAAATAACAAAAGAGACAATAACAATAGAAAAGAGGAAAAACAATATGCTTTGGTTTCTTTATTGTACGACTAGATTATGAAGAAAACGATGAGAGTAAATTGTTTGATATTTTAATAAATATGGACAATGAAAGAAAAAAAAAGAAAGAATTTCACATGCTCCGAAGAGACTTGTTCATATAAGAGAAAAAATATCACCAACACTTGTTAATATATATAAATTATCTGTACATTATCTAAGAAGTCTTGAAAATCGAACATTCTTAGAGACAAAAAATATAGAACACAAACATACTGTATGAAAACTATCCTATAGAATCAGACAAAAGTAATCAATACTTCTTTTTAATTTAAATGCCTATACTAAAGAAAAACATTTGGAAGAACGATGTGTATGTACAGAACAAAAGAGAAGATCAAGAAAATGTGAAAACGAAACAAAAGATCACGTTTTGCCATGAGTTTATGGATCAGTGTCAGAACCATTATTTTGCTCTTGTTCGTATTGTTGTTGTTGATAATGACGAATTTCTTTCGGTACCGTTGTATTAGTTGGCTGAATTCGATGTTGTGCTCGTTGTTGAATTTGTTCTAATTGAGCATTGGGTGACAAATGAGCTGTTTCCTGTTGAACATGTGTAAAACCGGCAGACACAAATTTTAATGGTTCTTTTGATTGCGTTTTCTTCGATGATCCTCCACTATTACCGGATCCATTACTACCATTACCGTTACTACTACCATAACCTGTATGAACCAAATTTGAGAAACGTTCGTTTTTCACAGGACGGCTAGATACCACAGATCGCTGAAGCTGATCGTCTGACTGTGGATGATTTTGAAGATAATTGTTGACAATATCAGCAGCTGCTGTTGTCACACTACTAATCGGAACAAATGATGGTTTTTGTGTTGAATTATACGATTGTTGTCGTTGCTGTGATGGTGGTGGAGGTAGTGGCGGATGCTGTGAGACTTCATTTAGTTGATATTGATGTACAGTTGGTTGTTGAGACACAGTAGTTCCTGTTTTTGATTGTTGTGATGACGATTTTCGTTGATGTTGATGTGATTGTCCATGATCGTGTTGAGGAATTTGTTGTTGTTGCATTCTATTAGTATGATGTAATTTATTCCAAAATGTGTCAAATGAAGTAATTATACCATCTACTCTGTCCACGAGTTGTACGAAATTTGGTTCTAAACAAAATACATAACTATTTTTTACTTGAGATAAAACACGAATCAAACAGCTATTAACCTTCCACTTTTCGTGCAAATAATATTTTATCACGTATTTTCTTTTTGAATAAATCAGTATCTTGTATATTCCAATCTTCTGTGGCATTGACACCAAACAAACGACAATTATATGCCTGACATGGTAAATGCTGAAAATCCGAGTCGAGTCGACGCATTGAACCGGTGCCCAATTCACGACGATCGCCTTGATCAACGAAATCAACCTGTTAATAAAAAAACACATGAAAAGTGTCGATAAAAGTTGGCTGATATTATTGTACGTACCAATGCAAAACTAACAGAATCTTTGAATTCAATAACACGTCCACGATACCATCGTGATTGGTATTTGATGGCCACCAGTTCATCTTTAGATACCATAATTTGTGTTGCAATATTTCTTCGTAAATCATACTTTTCACTATAAGATATGTACAACAAAGACAACATAAATGAGAAGCTTAGATTGTCATTCTACTTACGCCATATGTCTCTGTAAGTTATTCAATTCAACATTTTGCTCACTTTCTAAATCATCCGGTATTGGCAACGCTAAACAAGCGTGAAACAAATTAAATAATTAAAATTCTTATAGTCTGGTTTTTAATTGTACATACGTTCTGCACCTCGTCCAAGTGAATAATCAGTACCATAAGGAAAACGTATAAAAAAATCACTCGGACTTCTAACATATGTAACCTCAACAGCATACCATACACTCAATTCTGGCTCGATCGTAGGCAGAAAAGGCTGTAACAGAACTGTCGATTCTAAAAAGAACTTTTTCATTAAATAATTGAGAAATCATAAAGCAGACTCACGATGTTTTACTGATGCCATTTGTTCGCTATCACTAGAAATTCGATGAGATGTTGTCGTTTTTGTTGACGATTGTGGATGTTGTATTGAAAATCCTTTTGTTCCACTACCTCCTGTATTGCCATCCGATGTAGGCGTTTGTTCTTCGTTCAATTGGTGTGAGTACAGTGGTGGACATTTTAACGATTGTTGTTGTGGTATCTGTTGAAAATGAGAAATTGGTAGAGGCGGATGAAAATGTTCCGCTTTTTCCGTATGAAGTAGATGAGCTTCTTGTTCTTTAGAATATGTTGTTTCGTTTAACTGACGTTGCTGTTCAATATATTGTATAATGCGCTGTCGTTTAATATCGTCCACATCAGTGATAGCTTCATAAGCAGCGCGTATTTCTTGTTCATAACATTCATCTGGCAACGCCAATTTTTTTTGAACAAGTATTTCATTGATGGAAACTGGTTTACCGCTAGTGCTTAAATCGAATAGTGTAATTTGTAATGGCTGATCTCCAAGTCTAAACAAACAAGAATCAATTACTATACCCATCTATAAATAGCCTTTGCATAACTTAACAAACTACTACTTAACTATTGATCTTTTTCAAGTAAAAAAGCATTTGCTTTAGAGCGATAGAGATTAACAAACGAAACAACAGGATAAGGACCGGCATATCGCCTATCTTCGTTAAGAGGAAGAAGAACGTTCTACTATAAACCATCTTTGACAGAAAATTAATTTTTCCAACTTACTTGATTGTTGATGGACACGTTTTAGCTACACGAAAACGTAAACTTTTATGTGAATGACCGCCAAAAAATTTATTAAATGTTACTATTGATTCTCTTGTCCAATCTTCTTCAATTGGTTTAACTGACGATAAACGACATTTGATTGTTTGTGGTGGAATCTGACGATATTCTGGCAGTAATTCATAGAGTGATTGTGCAGAAATTGAGCAATAGTCACCAAAATCAATACATAATGCTAGTACATTCTTTTTTTCACGATCTAAACTGATCACTTGCACACGATAATAACGTTGATCCTTTGGATTTTTTCCAACGCCAACCGAATCTTTTTGTATATTTTTTAAACGTTGAACTTTATCGCATGATATTTGTTCAATATAAATATCTTGTATCTGTTCATATAAATACTGAAAACTATTTTGTTCTTCTAATTGAATGAAAAAATGAGTGGGAGATGTTGCTGATGTCACGTGACATGAACCAAGATTATCTTTCAAATTTAAAGTGATTGATGGTAAACTAGTAATACGAGAAGACGGTTTCGTTATAATATTCATCGTAGATGTCGATGCTGTCTATTACAAAAGAGAGATTGGATAAACGACAGCAGTTACAAGTATTACACCTACTTTTTCATTTCTTGAGACCGAACCTTGTGTTTTTCGTTGTGATTGAAGTATGTCGGCGGCAACAACCTCGTTCGATCGTTTCGGGTGTTTTTGTGCAACTAAAAATAGCAAGTTGTTTCATATTTTTGTAGAGAAAAAATAATCATTTGACTCACTTAATATTTCATCTGGTAAATTGTATAAAGTGTAATCTTGTCTGTTTAATCGTGGTGCAAGCATCGATATAATTTCTGTGACAGAAGATTGTATTGCCATTTTTGATGTAATCAGATTTTCAGCAATATCCTGCAGAAAAAACCAAGACCAGGCCATGTATTCACCAAAAAATAAATGAGACTCATATTATAAACTTACAATATGTTTGTCCATGACCAACTGAACGAAATGCATCGGCCTAAAAAAGAAAATACACGATAAAAATAAAAGTTCTTTTTTTGTCTCAATCATCTAAATAAATTCTTACCAAATATCACTTGGTTCTTGAAGAATTCTCACATCAAATGTTTTGTTCAGCGTATCGGATGAAAACTGACATATTGCCTGACGACTCCAGGCAACATTATCAGAAGATGGAAGAATCTAAAAGGAAAATGAATATACAATGAGGTTACAATGAAAGACAAGCAGATTGATGCTTACTTCTGCCGAGGCGCAAATAGCTTGCGCTGGCAATGTCGCAAACACTGGATCTAATGGTCGAACTTGATCAATACTAACGTCTTCATAGTTACCATAATCCAAATAAAATGCTTCAATTGTTGTTTCTACAAAAAATACTGTCATGAGAAAAATCACGGGTAAGAAGGTTTACTAACCATTAATATATCGTTTCACACGTGCACGATACCATCGTTCATCAACTGTATAACGAGCAGCACAAAAGCCAAATTCTGGTGGAAAATATTTGACACGTGGTGGATCACTTTCTGAATAATATTCACTGAATGAGTAAAAAGATAAGTATCTAACAGACAGATAAGATTCAATACAAAACTTACTTCATACTATCGACCATCTGTGTGAAATCGTCAAGATATTTTATATTTTGCATATAAAAATACGATGGATTAACAGCAATCGATACTGTTGTTTGCAAATCATCTCCAGTTTTATAAATTTGTCGGAGAATATTAACATCGGGAACTAGAAATAAAATAATTAAACACTAATTGTCTTCTACTAATGAAAATAGGCTACATTGTAACTGCTGCATTGTTGGATTTGATATATCCGAATCTTGATGGACACCATTATTCGTTGCATTATTTGTCATTTCAATTTGTTCTTCAGTTGACGATTGTTGTTTTCGTTGCTGATGAGATGGAACAAATTGCGGTTGTGCACTACTAGGTGAAGATGCTAAAACGTCTTTAAACCCTATAGAAAAAAATTAACAACATTACATGAACCATCTGTTCTTCTTCTGACATTCAATGAGAGCATACTTATATCTTCACAAGGATAATGAACAGTTTGTTGCTTTTGTGATGCATTCTGTTCCGACATTTTTTTCACATTAAAAGCTGATGGTCCATCTAGCGATTGAATTGTTGACGCTAACAATTGTTGTGTTTGATTTGACGTATCTTGCGAATTTGGACTGGTTACGATATTGCTATTATTATAATTGTTTGTCATTGTTGGTTGCGGATGTACACGCGCTACATTTGTAGCTGGCGTTGTTGACTGTGGCACACTGATTGGCTTGAAATGATTATCAGTTTTTTGTTGTAGAATATTAGCACTATTGTTCATCTTCGTTGTTGATGATGAGATTGGAATAGATGAGCTGGCAGCAGTTACGGCTATATTAGCATACGTGTTCGGTGTTGATTGCTGTTTCGGTTCAAGAGATGAAGCAAATGATTGAGGCTGACAATGTTTGGTTGAATATGGTGGCAAGCGTGTTGTACTAGTGTTAAACTGTTGAACCATTGTAAGTGAATTTTCTTTAGATTGACAACGGAACTTGGCAACAGCCGAATCAAATTCCTAAAAATGACATAACGATTAAGAAGTTATATCTTCTTTATCATTTCCAACTTACTTGACAAATACATTCAGCGGTTCGATTGAGACCTGAAAAACAAATGATATTCATTCACTTTGTTTTACAGGGAAACTAATTCCTCTTACTTTGCACTAACGTGACAAAATTATGAATATCTTTCCGAAGTTTTTCAAAAACAGCAATCATTGCATCATCTGGAAGCTTCTGTGTCTAAAAGAAAATTATTTCAGTGAAACTATATTAAAGACAAACATAGCTTAGGAAGCGAGAACACTGCAAGGAATCTCTTGAGCTTACGAACGCCACTATTGATAAAAAGCAAATGATGTTATTTTGAGAACGCTTGAGAGAACAGAATATAATTGAACAAAAATCGTCGCCTATTTAGCATCATCTTGAAAGGCAAAATCGAATAAGATTCAGGTAAACAATATTTTCATGAAATTTTTCTTATCATTCACGTAATGGTTCCGAATACTTACATAACCATTTTGGAGTTCTGTTTCCGTGTTGAAATCATTTATATCGCTATTCTTATTCTTAAGACCACCTTGAATAATTTGCAATTTCATATTTTCTTTATACTTTGATGACATGGACATCCAAGATTGTAAATTGTCTTCATTTAAATCAAAATCTAAAAAATAAAAAGTTTTACAGTAGTTTCAAAACTAAACGTTGCGATTCAGTGATAAACTTACATTCTTCTAACGCTGGATCGTATAACTGAACAATATTTTCTTGTTTAGTGGCTGATGGTAAATTATGAGCAATAGTATCATAGACTTCATCCACAGATGGATTTTGTGGTAGAAGACAATTTACTTGACGCTCATTAAATAAGATTGATGCATGTAACATTTTCTAGAATAAAAGACTAACTATAGAATTTGGAAACAATTCGTTGTGATGAAGAGAATGCGCGACAAGTCCATGCCATCTATAGACTTCTATATCTTCTGATTGTCGCGAACAGCTAAGAAAGTACATGAGCATATAAGACAAATAAGCATTGTTGTATAGGTTGATAGTGACTAAACTTATCAAATTAAACTAGTTAAAAAAAATCCGAACAATATCCACGAGAGAAAAACGACAAAGCATCAGAGGACAATCTAGATGTAAAATCGCCAGTAATTTGAACGGCAATTCCATCCTGATTTACTTGTTTCGTTTTATTTTATTTTGATATTCATCTTCTAGTCAGACAGATAGGCGCGTCTTTGCAGTTGGCAACTCTTTCGATTTGTCGGAAATTTTCCGATTTCAGGCACTTTTACTTTTTTTAACGTTTGACACGAATTTTGTTCAAAAATGGATTAGGTTGAATTTATTGTCAAAAATAATCATTTGACTCACTTAATATTTCATCTGGTAAATTGTATAAAGTGTAATCTTGTCTGTTTAATCAGTTCTACACGACCTTTCTTTGCAAAGTTATAGAAATTACAAGAAAAGCCCTCAATGTTCATTGTCAGCTCAAAGCTACAGAAATTAATTTAGGGCTTTTCTTGTAAATTGTATAACTTTGCAAAGAAAGGTCGTGTATAGCTAGGAGATGTCTCATTTTAATCAGAAATTTGCGGGCTACAATCATGCTTCATTATAAAAAGGTTTTGGTTATTTTTTAGAGTTCTCGAAAACTGGTTTTCTAGAAAACCGGATCTTCAAGAGGCATGGGCGCGAATCCTTTTAGGGTATTTACCACCTCACTGAGGTCTATCGATCCATATTAAAATCATTAGAATCGGAAGGGGACATCTCGAAAGGTTCCCTCCCATGCTGTTTAAGCATGTCTGTTTTTCGCTTTTTTTCTCCAGTTCATTTTATTGAATTGTAGTGAAAGAGTGAAAAAGAAAAACAAGATTTACAAATAAATGAGAAAAACCAGTATAGAGTTTTAGTAAAAAATTGGATTTGAGAAAAAAAGTCCCATTTTCTCTGATTTTTAAAAGTAAATTGAGCTGGCTATCCTGCGCGTGTTATCTCTTTCCATGTTTTATCCTAGCTGAATATGTTGGTTCTTTTTGCTCCAGTAAGAAGCTGTGATAAATGTAAGTCCAGACTTCCTCTCGACAGAGTAGGAGTTTGATTAGTTAAGTATGTTGACCATACATTGCTTAGAATCTCAGTCAATCTATCTAAAGAAAAATAACGAAAGCTATGACCGACCTAATATAACCATCTTTTAGGCGTAAATTAGAAGATTGAAGATTTGATGAGAGTTGAAATGCATTTTCTTGAAAGAAATAGAAGAAAATAAAGTATAAAGATGTTGCCAATTTGAATATCTATAGTTGTCATTGTATGTATGTTGCTACGCAGATGTTTTTCTTGTCCTTAACCTCTCATTTGAACGAAGCGTATATAAGAAAAGATAACTGTTGTGTTCAAATTAGCCTTAATTGAAAAGGGAGAATATAAAAAACTATATCTGTTTGTTCGCAAACCAGAATTAAAACTAATAACTCTTGACAGGTGTTGTTTCCGCTCACTTATAAACCACAAATAATACATCATGAAAAATCTGATGTTGTTGTGCTCAGGATGTAGAAAACTCCATAGAGTTTCTGGAAAACTTATGGATTTCTATATATTTCGGTCTAAGACGTTGATCATGCGTTGTACATAGATGAGATTTACTCACCGAAAGTGAGAGATCACCAAAAATTCCAGACATTTTACGCGATAACCCTCACCAAAGAAATAAACACATAAAGAACCATATAAAAAACAAGATATTAACTGAGAAAGAAAGAAAAAGAAGAAAAAAGACAAATTATATAATAACAAAAGGCAGCGCTTTCTTGCAGACAATATAATAATAAAAATAAACAACTTGAAGCAACAAGACACTTTCTAATAAATGTTCATGTGCGTTATTATCAAATTGAAAAATGTTAGTCTCGTTTTGGGATCTGAATTTCTATATAGATCGAATACCGAGGTAATCCCAAATTTTATATTAATTACGAATAGCAATCGAAGATCACTTTACACTACTTATATCATCAGATCATTAAGTATGTCCATTATAACAAACAAAACTCAGTACCATTAATGTGACAGTTACATACATTTTTTAATCATAATGGTATATTGTTTGTTACTGGTTAATGTTCAATACATAGACCACATTCTTAGCTATCATTTAACAGTTCTGGTGTTGTATAATCAATTAAAAATGGATTTATTTTATGATACGTGTTTGTATGTGTTGTACGCGTTTGGGCCTGAGTATTGTAACTTATTAATTGTATAATAAGTTACAATATTCAGGCCCAATGCTCACATCATCAAGTAAATAAGTAGCGTTTATCTGTGATCCACAAAACCTTGAAAAAAAGTCTTTTTCTTTTCACTACTGTAACAGCACAAGGATCCATCGATGCAGCAATACGGAATTGTATGAAGATTTGCACTCAAATTGCATTATCTAATATGAATTTAAATTGTTTTCAACATGTTTATTCATAGAAGATAGTAGAATATGGATTATATTCCGTCGAATTAATCGATCATATTACATACATAGCGTTTTCTTATTAGTCTAATATACGATTTCCCAGCAAATTAACTCGTCAAATGATCATAGTTTGTTTATTTTTTTAGATGGCTTGTTTCAGCGTTTATTTTCTATTAGATAGAGTATCTGGTTGGATCATGGATAATAGTGCCATAGCGTCTATAATTTGAAGTTTACGTACACAACTCAAATATTCAGATGTACGATGTATGGAAGGATTAGTAGTTAAAAAAAAGAGCTGTATCAAAAAATATCTTGTTCTTGTCTAGGTCTGTTGATCTACTTGGGGGTACTAATTTATAAGCACAGATTGGCTCGAATCAATGTCCTTCAGTGGCAATCAATGATAGAGAAATAAATGAGGTAGTGCAATTAAGCATCAACGACAAACATCACATAATTTTAGTATTAAATACGAAGATACTAAATGAGAAAATTTCTGTAATAATTTTGAACTCATAACGACTTTATAACTACTCTAGTAAAAACAGATAGTTTAATTTAATTGTTTATTGATATTTTTGTACACGTTTTGCAGATATATATATATATGGAACTTTGTGTTGTTATTCTTGAATTAAAGCAATAAATGCAAGATTAAAATAGCTTAACTTTGAAAACACCCATAAACATAAGTCGAAAGAAATACCCGTTTTCTGCAAAAGACAAAAACTGATTTCCAAATAAAAACTTAGAAAATTTCAAGTCTACGCTAATCTTGTCCACTACATACCAGATGTCTCTGCTTTACAAAATAAAGAAAAAATTCTAACGTGAAACAGATTAATTTAGAAAAACAACGTTGTGAAATTAATATCCCTTTGGTGGTTGTACTTTTATTTTTAGAGATACATTAGTTAATGGCTTTGCATGAAGCATTATTAGCATTGCAAACTGGATGTAGTGGTTTACTGACATTGAAACAGGATGATCCTTATTTCAAAAAAGTATATAGCTCAATCAATTAAATATATTGAGTCAAATTTGTGTATATGTTTTAGCGTGTTCAATCATTACCCTATGTACATCCTGGTGAATTAGAACAACTGGATCGTTTAACTCAGTTGGGAAAACATTATAAGATGCTCGAAGATTTTGTTCAAAATAATCTTGTATCAAATGAAAGTGTGTATTTCAAATTATTTTATTTGTTTTTATGATTAATTTTTATTATTATTTAGGTGGACTTTATTTGTTAAGTTTTTCATTTGAATTACGTACAATATTACAAGAATATTTATCATGTTTAAGTAAATTAGAATATGAATGTCTGCAGGATACTTCATTAACATTATCACATATTGTGACATCTCTAGATGACTATTTAACATTATTACCAGCATTGGTTCGTTTAATTGACAGTTTACATTCAACACAATTTCGTGGATGTCAAATACTCGATTTAATTTATCGTTGTACATTTGATGGAAATATATGTTTATCATTAAAAATGAAACAATTACTAAAAGCTTGTCACAAAATTCTTTTTAAACAGATAACAACGTTAATTATAAATGGTACATTGTACGATGCATATAATGAATTTTTTATTGGAATAAACACAAAACCAAACATTGAAGCGATGGGAACAACAAAGACATTATCATCAACATTGACATCAGCTGTTAATTCCACAGCAACATCGGCAAATATCAGTCGATCTCAATCACCAGAAACAACGATTGATTCTAAACAACAAACAGATATTTTTCAAGTAAAATATTTTTCATTATGTGAAATTATATCATGTTAATACATATAAGTTTTAGATTGTTCAACCTTCACGTGTTACACCATCGGTTTATAGTCAATATCAGTTAATTCCCAACATGTTACCGTCATACATTCCTCTACAATTAGCTGAAAAAATTATATTTATTGGTGAATCATGGTTATTATTAAAAAATAATGATCAAAATTCCGATGATTTATTAACTACAATTGAAACATATTTCAAATCAGATACTATCGATTATAATCAACAAAATAAATTTGTTTTAGAACAATTCAAAAAATTGGCATCAGAAGATTTTAATCTATTTGAATTAGAACGTATTGTTGAAGAATCTCGTTTACAATTATCATTAATATTACGTTATTTATTTGTTGAAAAATTTCATTTATGTAAAGAACTTGATCAAATCAAGACTTATTATTTAATTGGACGAGGTGAATTGTATACGTTGTTTATTAATCGTGCTAATACAACACTATTAAATCTTAAAAAAGTAAATCGTTCAACAGAAAATGATATTAATGAACTGTTTAAACAATGTATTAACGATTTACAATTAGATACTGTCCTTAGTCCAGAAAATTTTCAGCTGAAGTTCACATTCAAAGACGATGCTACAACGCAACAGGTATGGCACTAGATGAAGCATTTGATGCATCGGTCTTTCATAAAATTTTGTCAGTTGTGATCCTAATTTTTCTATCAACTTGTCTTAAATAGTTGGTTCGATATAAGTGTTGCATATATCGTTTATCAATCTCGTTCTATCCTCTTATGCTGCTTTATCATAGCTTCAATCGCTATGTTGTATTTTATATCATTGCGGATTTCTCTGATACACGTAGATTCAACCGATGATATACTGTCAATTGAATTGAAAAAATGCCTGTTATGGCTTAAACCTATCAATATTTCTTTCAATTTGTTTTAATTCATCTTTGATATAGTTTTGAATACTTATCAACATTAGACTTAAAAGTTTTCTTAATGAACAACTGTAGTATGTAGACATACTTCAGAAAATATTAGCGTTCTAAACAATTTCATGATAAATGTTTGAAGGATCATCAGCACTACCTGGCTAGTATACGTGATGTGACATAATATTTCAATTTCATCATCTCTATGATCTTTGTGAAGTTTCTTCAGAGTGGATCTTGGAATTGTATAAACATTATTCAAAGACTGCTAATGATATTAGTTTCATCTGCATTTTGTCATATCACCGGAAAAAAAATAAAGTTGGTTTTGAATTGCTGAAAAGTGCTTTTTCGAATTTAGCACATTCGTTAGCCCAGAAGATTTTCTATTTTTGGCGAGAGCTATTGTCGAAAGTTTAGGAAACATTTTGAAACAAAATGGCGCAACAAAAATTTCCATGAAAATATAATATTAGTTTGAAAATTTTTCCTAAACTTTTGACAATAGCTCTCGCCAAAAATAGAAAATCTTCTGGGTTATTTTGGGTTATCGAGTGTGCTAAATACGAAAAAACACTTTTCAGCAACTCAAAAAAACTATTTTTATTTTTTTCCGGTGATATGTTTCTTTCAACGTTATGTTTCCACTAGTTTTACTATTCAGACTTTTAACGGCTACTTTTGATCGACTTCATCCCGTAGGACAATTGGTCCATTTATTTATGTGTTATTTTACAGTACGGAATATGTCTTTATTACTAAATAACGATGTTGTTGTTTCAATAGATTTACTTATCGCATGTATCATGTTAATATTGGTTCTATTTCATCCATCCGACGACTATGAAACTGATTAGCAATTCATTGAAAGGTCTACGAGAAAAATTTGATAACACGATACACTGGTCTGACACTTTTGGAAAAAAATACTTTTCTTTTTTTGAAAAACTGGACACTGGTGGTTAGAGTCGATTTTTTTGTGGCCAGGACTACATGCTTTGAACAAATTTTTGTTTCTAGAATGTAGCTAAGGAAGCCAGATATTGAACACTATCACTCGGATCCTTTCAAAATTTTTATTGAGCGGGAAAAAACAAATATCCTGCGCTGTAAGGATAACTGTGAAGAAACCCAAAGTTATAATTTTGTTTCACAAAACAAAAACCACTTGGAATTTCAAACTCATTTCTTTTTTACACACATGCAAAGCTAAGATTCATTTCTCCGAAACTACATGCTGTATGGATAATTTTGGGCGTATGTGTAGATCTTTGTGTTGTTCAAGAAGTCTCGTTTTTTGTTTGACTTCTTCCTCTAGTTGTTTTAGTTCAGCAATTTATATGCTACTGTTATGATATCTATGATCGCTGTTCCAAATCCTCATCCAAGAAAGTGATCTCTGATATTAGTCGAGACTAGAGGCTGATGATTTAGAACAGCGATCATAGATATTATTAATATTATTGGTAGGTTTAAGACTGGGTTATAGAGTCTGTTTAAAATGAGGTCAAATCTCTTACGAGGGAACCTCTCGAGGTGATTAAAAGCTTTTCGACTCAGACTATTTTCATCATGCAGGACTAATTTTCTCATTTTAATGTAGTTCGTTGAGACGATCTTGTTAAAGACATGCCACTTGAACATAGTTTCTTTTAGAATTTAGATTACAATGTTCATAATGTATAATGTTTTTCTTGTAAGGAGCGGTTAACTGGAGACTATCATATTTTTACATATATTTAAAAGATTCTGTTTAGGAATAATTTTCCTTGAATAATAAAGATAGAAGAGAAAACGACAATAAATAGACCTTGATGACGTATTTATGTGAGAAAAAACAAAGTTTGAGTTTTTTCAAACGTAATTATTCATGTTCTCAATTGAATAATTTTCTCTTCTAGGATGCATCCTTAAATCGTCGTTTATTATTTTCAAAAGAATTACCACAAGATACTGTCCCGTTTGATTTTTGGTCATGTGGTTGGTCTAATTTAATGATTAAATATAATATTAAATATCCGTTAAAAGCATTTTTTAGCGAAAATAGTAAACAACGTTACAATGATATATTTCAATTATTACTCGTGTTACGTTATGTACAAATAGAATTAAATTCAATTTGGTTATTAATGAAAACAAATCATAATATTGGTCATATTTCACAATTACGTAATTTAATGTCATTTTTCATTAATAATTTACAATATTATATTCAAATTGATGTTTTGGAACATAAATATCAACAATTAATCAAATCAATTCAATCTAGTAAAGATTTTCAACATATTAAACATTTACATGAACTTTTTCTAAATGATATTCAAACAGATTGTTTCATGTTAATGCCCGCAACATACAAGAGTATTAAACAAATTTTAACATTATGTATGTCATTTTGTTTATTCATTAAACATTTCGAACAAGAAAAAGAAAAAATGACAAATATAATGGTTGAAACAACCATCGAGCAATTAGGAAAAGACTTCAATTCAGAAACACGTTTATTATTTGGTATGTTAGGCGCAGTACAAAAACGTAATGCATTACCACAATTAGCACAATTTTTAGCCAGATTAGATTTCAATAGATATTTGACTGATAATAATGGATCATTTGGACAATTTTAAAATTTCTTTTCTAGACTGTACATTGAGTAGATTTGAATAAATCGAGACTTTTTTCAAATGTTTTTCCGCAATCGAATGTTTTCTGCTTGGCACATTCTAGCCAAAACATCGAAATCGGCAAAAAAACCGTGACACGTTGAATTATTTTTATACGCATTTATAATTTTATACTTATGAAATGACTATTGTTAAAAGAATAATTTTCACTGTAGATAATTACGAAAATGAATTTAAATTTAGATTCAACGAATACATTTCAGTACATTTCTTCATACAGTTTAAATAGAAAATCACTCATTCAAACATAATCGATATAATGTATGCATAGAGATGAATAGTTTTTATAAAGAGTAAATTCTTTTGTTGTTGTTAAAGTATTTGTACGATACAAAAAGATCATACTGAAATATGATTATGAAATAATTTCACCATTATCAACCATGTTTGTAGACAGTTCAAATGAATAGAATTATTATTCAAAATTTATGTATGAACTTTGATTATCAATAAAATAAGAAATGATCTTGGATAACATTCAACATAATTATCGTTCTCTTCCTCTCAGTAATTAACAGCTGAGTTTCATTACAATTGTGTCTTTATATCAGATTTTTGGAGTCTTCTCTAGTTTTGACCACGTTGAATTAACACAAACGATTCCTACAGATCTACAGTATAGATACTGAATACAACACAATGCCTGAAATAAATTTACGGAAGAGAAAAAAAATCTCTAGAACTAGTGTAGCTCTTCAAGTCAGAAATAAAGATGCATATTAAAAACGTCTTGTTGAACTGGGAGAAGGACGCCTTCTGGCGATTCTCAACATGCGACACTTTACACTTTACTTTTTGCAATCTTCTGCTAGATGTTTTGGTATGTTTAACTTCAAAATAAAACGTAGAAAAAGAAAAATACACACAGTAGCTCGAAAAATTATTCGTCCATCTATACGGTGTGATTTTGTTTTATTTGCTATTTCAAAACAAAATACATGCCAAATAAAAAAATTCCCGCCAAACCAAACAAAAGGGTATTCCAACCTGTTTGCCTGCTCTGCGCCAATCTTGGCTCATCTACATGTGACTCGACTCAATTTTGCAAATAGCTGGACTGGCTTAGCGAAATTTTTTTTATTTGGCATGTATTTCGCCTACTCTCTAAAAATAAAGAACCAAAAAAGGGTAGATTATGTTGCCCGGTACCCTCTTTTTTTGGTTCTATGGAATTAGAAATACTCTTAACCATATTTTATCATATCATTTGGGGATTTCAGTGTACACTTTTTGGTTTTGTAAGATTTCTTTGAGAGTATTCCTCATTCCACAGAACCAAAAAAGGAGAGTACCGGCATTTGTTACTAAGAGATTCCAAAAAGGGTATCCCGGCATGAAAATACCCTTTTATCGTTCTGTACGATACGAAAATTTTTTTTAGAGAGTTGTGATTTACCAGTTAGCCTAGCTTTTGTTCTAGTCGTTATAACCCGACAGAAACGAATTCTTTTTGTCTCTTCGATATTTTCTAGTATAAGTTGATGTGCTCTATCCGCTAATGAGATTATTTCGAATTTTCCGCATAGATTAGTGTTCCGAGTTAGTGTCTTTTTCTTAAAAACAAAAAGACTAGGAAAACGTGGCGGGTGTTTCAGTTATTTTCGATTGATAGTATAAGCCCAAATGTATTCAGATGCTATTCAAAGCTTATATCTAAAATTCACAAGCACAATTTAGTCCAACCGCACAATGTTCGTCTAATAAGTCAAAAAAACTTTACTAAAATGATGGTTAAAAGAATAAAGAGCCCTCATAGTGGGCACTTGTGACCCGGACATGTAGGTTTTTTATTCAAGAAGGCAATTCAAAAGGTTCAAAATATAGCTCCTATAGGTTGACTGATGTCTTCTTTCCGGTGGTACATCGAAAATTCTGTCAAAATCCTGTTCTTTAGGTTTTCTGCGAAATTAAGTGGATGAAAGATACTCAGAAAAAAGGAAAATTAATTTCTCTAGGTTTTCTGATACGCTGGTTTCGTTTAGTTAGTTAAGAAAGTTTTGGAGAAACTGCGAACGTTTGTCGTGGTTTTCTGGACATCCAGGTTCTTTGGAAAACTAACTTATAGAAAAACGTTCTAAAACGCAGAAAAAATTAATTTTTATATGTTTTTTGATAGCGCTGTTCAATGACACTGTCAGTCTAAAAGTCTATCAAAAACAACCATAATATTTTCTTAATGTCCGTATTTTCGTGCCTGAAACTGATGAAAACCCTCCCTGACAACTTCTGATCGAAAAGTTCTTGTCCAGACTAGCTATCAATTAGACATCGTCCGATTCAGTTTCCTCCGCTGATTGCGAATATCACCTTACTTTTTAATACAAGTGCTCCTAGACCGGGAAAATCGGATTTTGTCCGGAAAACCAGGGTTCCTTGGAAATCCTACAGATCGGTCGGTCTAGGAAGAGTTACACACTTTTGCGCATCGATCTTATATTTACCGCATAGTAACGAAAGTTTTGGTGTGTTTTTTAACACGCTTCTCAGGTCTCTGTGTGTTTTGGCCTAATTTTTGGCCATGTGTTCTCCCATGATCCTGAGCACTTGGAACAAAGTTTTATATCCCATTTAATAGTTCATATGTTCAACTATATTATATTGTATTTTAATCGAGAAAAAGTGCACTTTCAATTTTTTTCTTAATATCACGGTTGTTATTTATTTCATACGAAGATAACTATGTCAGAAATGGTGACATCATCTTTTTACGCAAAATGTTGAAATCAAACTACATAAATTTGAAATTTACCGGGTAACACAGATATAGATCCAAGCAATGTAAGACTAACGGAATGAAGCTCTGTTTTTGCTCTCTAAATTATTGATTAAATACAAAAAGTGGCAGATCTAAATGGAACAATGATCAAATGATATTGACTCTATCTAAACAATAGTCGTTGAAAATCACTACTGTTCATTTCAAAATAGAAGAACAACGATTGCTTTTGAAATAATTCTTGGTAAAGAAATGATGAAGACTTTTGAACTTCGTCATTCGATAGCTACAACCAGAAAGGAAAGTATCTTTTCATTAGAAGATCTCTCTTAAATGTAAGGTTTTTGAGAGGGTCTTTAGAAAACCGATTTTTATTTTCAAAATTTAAAATTGCAATATATTCACTTTTTCATATGAGTAGATAGTCTAAAGTGTTCAATTCAAAAAAGAAGTCGAACGAGACTCTTATCTTTGATCGTTTAGAATTGGCATCGGATTTATGTCGAGTCCATAGACTCACATAAGATAATTTTAGAGAACCTTAAACACATCTGGAAGTAATTCATGACTTTTAGTCAAAAAATTTATAAATCCGAGACTTTTCGAAAACTCCATACACTAGGAGAAGCGAAGCTTAACAAACCATTTCATAGTTTATGATGAATCTCAAACTATTTTTCAATTAAAACAATATTTTTTAAAATTGTACTCTGCTATTTTTGATTTTTGAAACTTGATCATTGACTACTCATTACTCATCTCAGTCAATAAAGTCATTGTGTCTTTCTTCTCCGTTGATGATATACATATTCTTTTTTTATTTCTAAGATGACGTTAAGCCATTTGTTTGGGTGATGTTAATCAGTCTCGTTCGAGCAAACAATATTGTCAACAATTAATAAAAACAGTTTTTGTTTATCTGTGTCTCGATATAAATTTTTTTTTTGTCTATCACCGATCTTATTCTCCCACGTAAGAATGATTGCGCATTATTATTGTAAAAAATGAATCAAACTAGCATTTAAAAATGCAAAAATTTATCAGACGTATATAGTATTATCTATCGATCTAACTATCTGAAAATGATGGATATTGACGATTGTATTAGTAAAGATTGTGGAACTATTTATCGTTTTCAATTTGCAAGTATCGCATTTCTTTGCGGTGTTTTATTACCATATACATTTCATACTAATATATGGTCTATTTATACAAAACCATTTTCGACAATTGATTGTTCTCGATCACCAGATTTAATATTAACACATTTAACAAATTCAACAACAAAATCAAATCGTTCTATTTGTTGTTCATGTGAAAAACGATCGTCATTATATTGTGATGAATTACTTAATGGTGGTTTAGATAGTGACATAAGAAAAGCAACAGTTATTGAAGAGGTAAGTTATAAATTTAACTGTATACCTCGTTTATTCATTAATCTATTTATAGTGGAACTTAGTATGTGGATCTGGTAATAGTAAAACAATTTTATATGGTTCAATATCATTCTTAATTGCCGAATGTATTGGTGTACTCACAATAAATATTCTCGCTGATCAATATGGACGAAAATTGTTATTATTAATGTGTTTGTATATTCCAGTGGTAAGAAGAAATTTTTATTATCATATTTTCATTCAAATGACTCTAATACTCATATATTTAGCTATTTGGATCATTAGCAGCGTTTACAACTACCTATACTTTGTTTATTGTTCTAAGATGGCCAGTCGGATTTTTAAATCAAGTATATAGTGATCATTCAATAGATAAATAATTAATAGTAATCAACTCTTCTAGGGATTATTACCGCTCGCCTTTATTATGGTGATTGAATCTTGTGAATATCGACATAGAGCTCAAATTGGATGTCTCTTATTGGCATCTGTGCCTGTTTTTGGAATTATGATGGGTAAGAAGCAATTAATACTAAAGAGTGGACTAGATAAAACCGGCCACTTTTATTCGTTGTTTTTCAGATACTTTACAGTAACCAAAGAAATCTTTCTAGACTCAGCTGATAGAGAATTGAATTCTCTACAAAACCTGTTATTTGAATCTCTGATAGCTTTTTTATTATATGAGCATGAGCACCATTCAAAATATTGCAGGATTCTGAGTTCTTGAACTGCGACACACTAAAAATAGAAAAATATTTACCTTGATCCAGAAACAGATTCCATAAAGATTTTGAAAACATCACAAGATTCAGCGAAAAATTCTACAGTTTTTCACATACTTTTCGAAATTTTACAGTTAAGTGTTCTAGGAAAATTTCACTGTGCAAAAAACTGATAAATCTAATAAAATCTAACTTTTAAATCTACTTTTCAGAGACTTTAGTATTTTTACTATAAAAGCAGTAAAACGTTCTGAATTCAGGGTTTAGTCTTATTATCGTAGAATTAAATTCTGCATTATTTGATATATAAAACAAAGTTTCTCAAATTGAAATCATTAATTAAGAACATTAATTTAATTTGAAAAAAATTGAAAAGCCGGTTGAGAATTAGTTATGATTCCAGCTGACGCAGCGGAAACATTGTATAAAGTTGTAAATGAATAAGATCGATAGATTACAAAATTCTCTGTCTTTCTTAGAATAACAAACGTAGAACAATTAACTATTGAATCTCAGACAATGGGCTAAAAATCTCAAAAAATGAGACGACAAAAGCACGTCGTAGTTCGAGAACTCAGCATCCTACAATATTTTGAATGGTGCTCATACAATAAAAATGCTATTAGAGATTCAAATAGGAGATTTTGTAAAGAATTCAATTCTCTATCGGCTGAGTCTAGAAAGAGCTCTTTAGGCTACTGTAAAGTAACTGAAAGCCACAACGAATAAAAGTGGCCGGTTTTATCTGGCCCACCCGTTAACATCTATTCAATTCTTAAATGTTTATTATAGGCGTGACATATTTTTTTATTTTTGATTGGAGACATATTCAACTTATTGGCACATTAATTACAACATTGACTCTATGCTATCCATGGTAGACATAATCTTCAATAAGTTAATTTAAGATATTTTCTTCATCTATATTATTCAAAGGTTAATACCAGAGTCGAGACGATGGTACGTTAATAGTCATCGTGTATCACGTGTTAACAAATTCTTACAATTATGTTCAAAACAAACAACTGGTCTTGGAAAAGTTTCAAAAAATTATTGTAAAGAAATATTACCTACAGATGCTATTCGAGTTGCTGGAACTTTAACTAGTCTATTTTTTGAAAGTCGTCTACGAACAATTACCTGTTGTCTATCAATACTTTGGTAATGATATTAAAATGTATCATATATTTATTATAATTTATATGTTATTCATATTTTAGGTTTCTTTCCTCATTTTGTTATCATTGCGCATTATTTCCTATTATCGTAACTCAACCAGCAATCAATTTTGTCTTAATGAATGCTGTAGAATTTTTTTCATTTATTATTGCATTAATTATAGCTTTTAAGTATATAAAATCTTTTTATTTTGTTGAAAATGAACAAATTTATTGACTCTCTATTTTAGAATTGGTCGTCGTGCACCATTAGCTGTACTTACCTTAATTAGCGGCTTATCTTCAGTCTCACTAGCTATAACACTATTGGGAAAAGGTAATTCAGTTTTTCTATATCAAATAGTTATCAATAACAATTTATCTCATCTATTTTAGAATATTCATGGCTCAATATTACATTTACATTACTTTCACGTGGATGTCTTCGAACTTGTTATTGTCTATTGATATTGTATTGTACGGAACTATATCCAACTTCAGTCCGGTAAAGAAAAAACAGATTTAGTTTCATCAGAGATTGTCTATAATATTTGATCCCTACTAGTATACAAAGAATGATCGTTAAATTAGAACAGAAATTGATGAATCATTTATTTTTAGCTGTGTTGGATTAGCTCTTGGTCTTGCTGGTTCTACTGTTGCTCGACTTATTGTTGAAATTTTATTATGGGTAAATATTTTGAATATGATAATATTTTTTTTCTTCAAAAAATTCATTCTTATTCTTCTAGTTTTCCATCGATCGTTCACTTCTGTTATTTATCTCTGGTGGCTCATTATGTTTAAGTTGCTGTGTTGTATTTCCATTACCTGAAACACTCTTATATGATTTGCCTGATTCATTAACTGATCTAGAATCAATGTCACGATCAATGTCAACTGATAATGCAACATTTCGTTCAAATCAAACATTTGATATGTCATCAAATTTAATTGAAAAAAGTAATAATATTCAATTATCTTCTGATTCTATAACTACAGCAACATTTAATGATTTATCAATAAATAATGGACCAATTCGATCACCAACTACTACCAGTTTACATCCATCAATATTAAAACAACAAAAAAGTGTTACTATTCAAACAAAACCAGAAATAATTAATTCATCATCAACAAATTCAACATCATCCACACCATCATCACCAAATCTAAAAGCAATAACAAATCCCTGTTATTTTTCATCAATAAATGATATTGATGAATCAACAAGACAAAATAAAAATAATACAGACTTTTATGATATTGAACATAGGACGAATAATAGAGTAGTTATAAGCATTTGTGGAGAGGAACAAGCAACAAAATTCTAAGAACTATTGTCCATTTGTCTATTACCAATCTGACACTGACAACTTGTTCGAACTAAAGAGGTCATATAATTCATTCATTCAAATGTAAAGATGTCAAGTAAAAATGATCGAGATGGTTATATGTTACCAGTCACTTCATTTTCTGACAAAATTACATATAAACTCTGAATTTGGTTATTAAAATCTAAATCGTAGATCGGAGTTAGAGTATTGGACAAGTGTAGTTTAAATTTTATTTTGTAAATTGAATAAAAATATGTAAAATCAATACTTTTACAATTCTTTTAAAAATACGCTTTTGAGATTAATTGGAAACTGTTGATGTAACACTTAAAATCAAATACAATAGACAATTTGTGACTTCGATTTAGGTTTTTTCTTTGTGTGTGTATGTGTGTGTGTGTGTGCTGCATAATTTAATCGGTGCTGTCATCAAAGAAAAAGGAAATAAAATAAGGACAAACGTATCAAACATTTTTATTCATCTGTAATGTAATGTGATTTCTAGTTATTTTTCTTTTTCCTATTTCTATATGGTCACAGACTAAAAGGTGGGTGAATGACTTCTCACTCTTCTCAATGTATACAGAGGTCTGTTGTCTTTACGTACGTAATACAAAGAAATGTATGTGTGTGTGTGTGTATGTGTATATGTGTCTATGTGTTTGGTTCCATGAAACTGAAAAAAAAAATTCATTTTCTTTTTAATATGATAGTAATATCGTTCTTTTATGCAAAAAACCGTATCATTCAGTCTTAGTTTGATCATTTTCAATAGCTTTTGTGATTGCAACAAACAGCTGTGCATAAAAACAAAAATTGGATCATTTGTAATCAACAAAATAGAAGAAAGAAGTTAGAATATTGAAGCATATTAAAATCATGCAACATATCAATAAGGTAATGTAATAAAACTAAAACTATTGTCTATCTAAAGTATTTTTACATATTTTTGTTCATTGTTCAGGAAAGAAAAGATAGTTTAAACGATCAAACAGACTTTTCTAATAAAATGGGACGATTTGACGAATTGAAAGATCAAATTCAACAATTGTACAATGAATACACACAAAATCTTCTAAATGAAAAGAATTTTCTGCTCAACGAACTTGAATTACTTAAACACGAAACTGAAACAGCAACAAATTTTATTAAAAATGGTACACATCATAGTGATAATGATGAATCACAAATTGATACACGAGCTAATAGAACTTCTGATAAAATTGAATCGAAGAAAAGCATAGTGTCAGACAACAAGATTAATAAGGTAAATTGTAGTTTTTAAATGCCATTTTAGAATGCATGAATTAGTGGTGACTGATTCAAAATTCAACAAAACTAACATATTATTCTCAATAATAATTCTGAACTATTCCTATTGTTAGTCAAATTTAGCGTCAATAATCTTGTTGGAGTCGTCTCTAAAAAGATGGTGCTAAAATTCTGAAACTTGTTGTTGCTAAACTTGATTGATCTACATAAACATCTTATCGTCCGTTTTTGACTAGATAACTGATATATCAATTTGATTTTTATTCTTCAAGATACATGAAAAGTATTTATAGTCTTACTTTAGTATGCACTTTTACAACAATAGACTTTTTATTTGATTTAGTGTCCAAATAAATCTATTACAATAAAAATACGGATAGCCCTTTACTTTTGACATGATAAATTTTGAAAGACTAACATATTTTTCTAACATCTCAAAATATCAAAGATCATCATGTCCCTCATAGCATTGAACTATTAATTCGTCGATAAGAGTGAGTTCTTCAACTTCTCAATGTCTTTAATAGAGATAAGTGAAAAATTTTGTAAAACTTCAAACTTTGTATCAATTTCAGGTCACCAGTCTCTCATCACTAACGAACGATGACACTCGCGTACCAGTTGATTCTCTATTTACCATAAAATTTCAACATTCATTTCTGAATGGTGGCCATCCAATGCTAGGTGCTATTAATTTACTTGATCCCAAAAATGATAATAAAATCGTACGAACAATATCGTACAAAGAGTCACAAAATCCAATTAATGTGTCATCATTATCGTCATTATCTTTACCATTAGAACAAGAATATTGTGATGACATAAATTTTTGGTCTATGATTAGTGATTCTGACACAGAAATCGATCATCATCAAAAATTACTACCAACATCTAATATGTACAATAATCAAAAATTGTATCCAATTGTAATACATTATACAAATTCAGAAAATGATTTTAAAATGCGTAAACGTTCGAATAGTTATTATGGTGGAAAACAAAATAATCAACATAGACATAGTTTTGATATGACAAATAATAATTATTCTGATAATAAAGATTTTATTCGATCTAGCCGTCAAAAGACAAAACGAAAAAGTTTTACAAATCATTTATATTGTAGAACGGCACAAAATGACATTGAAGTAGATAATAATCAATCGGTAATAAATATTTGGTGGCATTTAGATGTGGATATTGTACCTGTCTATAGTGGCTATCGTAATCAAAAAACATCAACGTCAACAAAAACTCATATATATATTTGTGATTCTAATGGTAAAATTCGTATTATTAATGCATCGGCTGGTTTATTAATCAGTTTATTTCAATTAGATACATATGGTCGAGTATTAAGTTTTGATGTAAATGATTATTATTTAATTGTAATAACAAATCATTCAAATAATGAAAAATATTCAATTAAATTATATGATTATTTAGGAAATTTTTCACGTTTACTACGTTTAGATACGATTTATCGACCATATTCAATAGCATTTACATTTGAACATATTTATTGTTGTACAGAAAATACTTTAAGTTCTATTGATGAATTATTATTATTAGATTTAAATGGTAAACAATTAAATCGATTACAATCTAATTTAAGATGTTCAACAATTTCACTTAATAGACGTTCAGTTGCTGTTAGTGATGTAACACATAATAAAATTGAATTACATTCAAAAACATTAAATCAAAAACAGATAACAATTGAATTAGAAAAATATGATAATGGTATTGAAAATGGACCATATAATGTCTGTTTAACTGAACGCGGATATTTATTTGTAAAAGTTAATAATAATAGACAAATATGGATAATTAATTCACAATTACGTCTTATAAATAAACTACAATTTAATGATGATATATGGGCAATGAAAACATTGCCACATGATTATTTTGTTGTTGGATTACGAACGGGACAAGATCATGGAAAATTAATATATATAAAATATTTAGATTTAGAGTAAAATGTTCACGTTATTCATATATAGAGGGGGAACAATAGAATAATGTCTTCTTAGACATTTTATTTGGGATTTTAATCAGCGTATACGCTGCTGCATTTATCTAAAAATAAATATGTAATGAGACATTTTATTGTCGACCTCTTTATCGGTAAGCTTTTTAATTACTCACATTAGGCGAACGGCAAATAATTTGAAGAAAAAATAAATACAAATTTTTTTGAATGTAAAAGAACATGATTTCCATCAAAATGGATAGATTTCTTTTTACCATTTTTCATAAAAAATTAACGAAGTTTCTCTATTTACAATTGTAAACAAACTAACGATTTTAAAACCAGTGAAATGTTAAGTAAAGAATGCATCGATTTATGTGTCCTAAAAGTTCAATAAAAAATAAACTATCACTACAGAGAAGAAGTATCAGTGGTTTCAAAATAGCATATACAATTGAAAAGCATTAGGTTTACTAAGGAACGAGTCGCCTTTAATACTAAAAAGAAATACTTCAATCAAGAATAGTTTTATTTTTGCATCTACGCTCTACTACATTTTGACATGATCTATCTCGAAATAGGGAAGATGTTACATTTATCATAACTATACGCCTCTTCTTGCGTTTTCAAATCTACCTTTTTCTTACATTTTATACATGCAATTATATTTTTATACGTCTAACGAGGAAAGGACACCAAGTGATAAATCGCTTCTAGCTTAAAACTTAGTAAACAATAGGTAATCGAATGTGCTGATTCCGGATACTAACATGAGACGGGCCGCTAGGCCTCCAAAGACTGG